GTTTCTTCCTTCATGTTCTGGCATGGAGTGGCTTCTTCAGCGTGCTTTTCCCTAGCTCTCCTCAGCAGGTGCTCTCCGAGACCCCTACGGCAGGAGAGGAGCGCATAGAGACGTGAAACTGAGGCGGCACCGAGGCCTCTAGTGGGAGAGCAGTGGGGGAGACAGGAGTGGGCAGGCTAGGTCCAGGAGTGCGGGCATCAGGCTCCTCGTGCCCCCTGCAACCTGCATTTTTTGCAGTGCTGGGGATTGAACCCGGGGCCTCATGCGTGCTAAGCATGTGCTTTTCCACGAGCTACACCCCCTCCCCTCCTCAACCCCTTTGAAGTACTGAGCAAAGTTCCACCCTGTTCCCAAGGACAACATGTTCGAATAGATTGCATACAGTTTGAGGGGATCAACAAACTCCATCATACCCACTAAGACTGTCCTTGGACCTGGAGCAGAAGCCCTGACCGGCCTAGGGTCGAGAAACCATGGCCCAGGGAGGAAAAGGGCCTTGCCAGCAGTCATGCAGGTGGCCAGCAGCCAGGGCCCTGAAAGCTTCATCAGGGCCTGCCCCTCTTCACGCACCCCTTTTTCTTGCCAGGCTCTCAGGCCTGCACATGTCCACCATTCCTGCTGAATCCTTGCACCCAGTCCACCAGCCCGGCCCAGAGCATACTTCTTGCTTAGGCCCCGGTAGTTCCAGCTGCACTAGCACTACCACCACAAGACCCAGACTGAGAAGTCCAGTCTTCACCTGTGACTTTGGAGCCAGTGCCCCTGCCGTTCAACCCCCACCACATATATACACACACTGGCATCTAATGAATAGCAGTGGGAAGAAAAGGTCATGGCCCAGGAATGGTCATTAGACTCCTTGAATGCCCCGTTTGGGGAGGTGGGCACTGGGGATGGAACCCAAGGCCTCATGCATACTCAGCAAGTGCTCCCCCACTTCTAACTAGACCCACCCTAGCACTTGGCTCAGCCCTGTTCTGGCTGATGATGGGATCATGCAGAGATGGTGTCAGACCCAGTCCTGTCCTTCCAGGTTCAGAGTCCAGAGAGGGAGATACTTTGCTGGGACAGTCTCAGCTCAGAGGACAGGGCTCTGATAGGGCAGCCAGGAGGACCTGTCTGACCTAGCCTGGCTGTGGGACTTCCTGGAGAAGGTAGTAGCCCAAGGAGAGCAGGAAGGCTAAGTAGGGGTGAAGTGGTCCAGGGCTGCACCAGCCAGAGCCAGGTGGAGGTCAGGTTGGCTGCCCACATGGAGCCCTATAGGCCCCAGTGGTGATTTGTCCTTGATCTCTCTTGGTCCTCTGGGGGAGAGAGGGTCAGGTTTGAGCTTGTGGGAGACCCCTTAGGCTCCTATATGGAGAGCATATTAGAGGCTGAGCGGGCAGCCCTGGAGGAGGCTGGGCAGGAGTGAGGGTTGGGCTAGGGAAGGCGGTTGGCTCTGGAGGCCTCTAGGCAGCAGAGCAGGCTGGACCCATGGCCTCTGGTCATGAGAACGAGGAATAGGTGCCTCCTCAGTTTCCGGCAGGTCCTCAGGTGCACTCTCCTCTGCCCCTTCAGCCTTTTTTCCGGGTCTGTCTTCCTGAAGAACACCCCTCCTTCCTCTCTGGGCCCCCTGTTCCTTGTAGGACCATCCCATCCCATTCTCCACTAATCTCTCAAGGATTGGGGGATCTCTTATGACTCAATAAAGACTTCCTTGTTGACAGATTCACATGGCAAGTGGTGTTTGGGGAAGGTGGGCTTGAGGCAGCTCCTGGGTTTCCCTACTAGCACAGTGGATGGGGTGCTGCCACCACTCCTGGGGGTACAGACCCCAAGGCCAGCCTTTCTGGCTCCTGCTGCTGGGGGATTCATCATATGTCCCAGCCCCATCCTCATCTTGTTCCTCCTTTGCCTGAGAATCTGCTGTGTCCCTGTGTCCTCACACCTGCCAGCCCTGGTATCCCCCATCATCCCAGCACCAGCACAGACTCTTATGCTCCTGACCAGCCTGGTGGAGGGCCACCTTCTGTCCCCTCTGGAGAGGCTTATGGAAGTCAGTAGCTACTTTCCCAGGGCTGTCCTCAAAGGGGCTGTGGTGTCCCCAGTGTGCCTGGCATGAGGCTTCCAGGTAGTGGGACATGTCTCCTCCCTAGCACTAAGCCCATAGGTGACTAAAGGCCAAGCTGAAATGTGCCCTCAGGAGGGGGCCTTCTGCTGGGGCCTGGGAGCTCCAGGAAGCTGGGGCGGCCCCTGTCCTCACACGTGGCAGCAGGGCTGAGGCTCTCCAAGGGTGGTTGGACTCCCACTCCCCAGGGGTGGCTGGGCAAAGAGAGGACAGGCCCACTCTCCGCCTCCTCACAGCCACCAACCTGTGCTTTGCGGAGCGGAACGTATACACGTCGGAGGTGCTGGCCGTGGTGATGCAGCAGCTGATGGAGCAGAGCCCCCTGCCCATGCTGCTCATGAGGACCGTCATCCAGTCCCTGACCATGTACCCCCGCCTGGGGGGCTTCGTCATGAACATCCTCTCCCGCCTCATCATGAAGCAGGTAACCTGCCCTTGGCCATCCAGCTCTGGCCCCCAGGAACAGACTGCAGAGGTGGTGCTGAGGAGAGACTGGAGACCACCTGAGCCCTCCTCCCCCCAAGGGGAGCCTGGCTGAGCAGGCCCATCAGAGACCCCTTGCTCTGCCTCCTGCCAAGAAAGCACAGTGCTCCAGGGGCCTGTGACTCTGAAGGCCACAGGGTGGTGAGTGAGGGCAGCTGGGTGGTAGGAGCGGTGTAGGCTTGAGGGGCTGCACACAGCACTGCACCTGGCCAAGATGCATCCCACAGCTGAAAGATGGGCCAGTTTTGTTTTTTTTTTTTTTTGCCAGTTTTCAATAGATGAGAAATCAGAACTTTTAGAAATACCAAGCTGGGCATGGTGGTACATGCCTGTAATCCCATTGACCTGGGAGGCTGAAACAGGAGGATCACAAGTTTGAGGCCAGCTTCAGCAACTTAGCAATACCCTATCAAAATAAAAAGGGCTGGGGTGTAGCTGAGTGGTAGAATACCCCCTGGGTTCAGTACCAAAGAAGAAATAATGACCCCCAAAAAAATCTCACCTGCAAGCACCAGACAGTAGCACAAAGACTGCAGCTTTGCAACATCTGGCTTAGAAGCTCAATGCAGAAGCAGACAGGTTCAAATTTGGTTTCTGCCCCCACCTCCTGTGACCCTGGACAAGTCCCTGTACCTCTTCTGCCTTTTTTAAACAGGGGTAAGGTCGCCCTCTTGAGGCTACTGTGAGAATACATGAGACCTTGCTCGCGGAGCACTTTGTCTAGGCTGACAAAGGAGAGCTGGCGGGAGGGGAGGAAGGGTCTCAGTGTTTTCCTTTCCCAAGTTGTCTTCATGTTCCAGCTGCCTGGATTGGGAAGGCAAGAGCCCCCCCCCCCCCCAGGGAGGTCAGAGCTGTGTATAGCCCCAGAAGAATCTCAGACAATGGGATTTGGGTTATGGTCTTAGCAAGGTTTTTGCCCAGCTTCCACTGGGTGGCTGCCTGCGGCTCCTCCCAACAGCTCCCTCCCTGCCTGGTCCAGGTGTGGAAGTATCCCAAAGTGTGGGAGGGCTTCATCAAGTGCTGCCAACGAACCAAGCCCCAGAGCTTCCAAGTCATTCTGCAGCTGCCACCCCAGCAGCTGGGAGCTGTCTTTGACAAGTGCCCTGAGCTCCGGGAGCCCCTGCTGGCCCACGTGCGCTCCTTCACCCCCCACCAGGTACGGGGGGGGGGGGGCGGCGCGGGGGGCGGTATGATGGTGCAAAGGGATCCCTGCTGTGCCACAGAAGATCAAGGACTCTAGAGGTTTTAGGGGTGCCTAAGAGGGCCTCCGAGCCAGAGTTCTCCACAGCGCCTCCTCTTGCTCTTCACCTAGCAAGCACACATCCCCAACTCGATCATGACCATCTTGGAGGCCAGTGGCAAGCAAGAGCCAGAGGCCAAGGAGGCACCTGCAGGGTCCCTGGAAGAGGTGAGGGTCCTGCAGCCCACCAGTCTAGATTCCCCAACCCTGTCAATCCAAGCCGGCAAGAGCCTCCCACCTCCTCCCACCCTGAGAGGTGCCGGCTGCCTAGGCTACCTGTGTCAGCATACCCTCCTACTGAAAGAGGGTGGGCCCTTTTAATTGCTCACGATAAGACGCTCCTGACCTAGCACCCTCCTTGCTCTCCGCAGCAGGGTAGTCTCTGACTCCTTTACCCCATCGTCTGCGAGCATCTCCCTGAGCTTCTGTGTGCCCCTCCCCATCCCCAGGACGACCTGGAACCCCTGGCTCTGGCCCCTGCTCCGGCCCCTCGGCCCCCTCAGGACCTCATCGGCCTGCGGCTGGCCCAGGAGAAGGCCTTAAAGCGGCAGCTAGAGGAGGAACAAAAGCTGAAGCCTGGAGGCTCGGGAGTCCCCGTGGCGTCTTCCTCGTCCTCAGCCCGACCGGGTCCTGCCCCCACGGAGGAAACCATGGATTTTCGGGAGGAGGGGCCTGAGTGCGAGACCCCGGCCATCTTCATCAGCATGGATGACGACTCTGGGCTGACCGAGGCCGCACTCCTGGACTCTAGTCTTGAGGGGCCCTTGCCTAAGGTAGGGGTGACGATCAGAGATGCAATGGAAGACTCAAAGCTCGGGGTGAAGTGTATGCCAGGCCGGGGGAGTGGGGCGATGAGGGCTTTGGAGGTGCGACCACGCTCTTGATGTACTGCCCTTTGCTTTCTGCCACCAGGAAGCAGCAGCGGGCGGGCTGACCTCAAAGGAGGAGCGGAGCCCCCAGACCCTCGCCCCTGCGGGGGAAGACGCTGTGAAGACCCCTAGCCCCGCCACGGAAGAAGCGGGGGAGCCGGAAACCAAGGGGAACAGCTGACGGGGACGTGGGGGGCGGGCCGGGCCGGGCCGGGCGGTGGGTGCTTTGCCTTAAAAACAATAAAGGGAACGGTCTGGGCACGGGTGCCGTCTGCTCTCTGCCGCCCTGTGGGTGCCCTGTGGCTGGAAGCCCCTGGTTGCTCCTGCGCATGCGCTGCTCCCGCTGCTCGTGGCGGGCTTCCCGCGCGGTTTAGTAACGGCCCGCCCCTCCAGACCTTAAAGGCCGGCGACCCTGGCTCCGCGGCAGCCGGGTGTGAACCCGCGGGCGACTGGTCTGGCCTTCCTGTTCTTAAGCCTTCCTTCTAGTCGTCTGCGCCCCCTTTCAAGCCATGGGGGACCCGCCGCCCAACCCTGAGGCCCCTTCCCAGCAGTCCTCGAGCCGGAGGGGCTCCCAGGCCCAGGAGCAGCGGCGCAGCTGGGACCCCTCGCAGGCCCAGGCGCAGCGGCACAGCTGGGACCCCTCGCAGGCCCAGGCGGCGTTCGGCAACGAGGTGCAGCAGGCCCTGCTGAACCAGCAAAGGGGCAGCCGGGGCAGCCGGCCCAGTCAGGAGTTGCCGACGAGCCAGACCAACCTCCGCTGGTCACAGGGGGGCAACTTGCCCGAAGATGAGAACTTGCTGCTGTACCAAGCGGAGGAAGGTATAATGGGCGGCGTGGAGTACCAGCCCTCGAGTGCAGGCTTTCCCTTGCAGTTCCAGACCCGGACTTACCTGGATGAAAGCAGAATCCCAGTGGAGGAACAAACCACCGACCTAATGCAGCAGCTGCAGCAGCTGCAGCAGAGCCAAGGCGGCTTCTTCCAACAACTGGAATCCCCTGTCTACCAGGACCCTGGGGCCAATGTCTTGGGCCAGTACAGCATGTACCAGACAGATGACCCGCAGTTCATGCAAAACACAGAACATGGGCCCTACCTAAGGGATGACCCTGCCCTGCATTTCTCACCCTCTGAGATGGGCTTCATGAATTTCGGTATGGAGATGCCTGAGCCGCAGCCTCGGGAGCTGGCTGTGCAGAATGCCAAGGCCTACTTGCTGCAGACAAGCATCAGTTGCGACCTCAGCCTGTGAGAGGCGGCCAGGAGCCAGGGGTGGGGGACCCACACAGGGAGGGGCCTGCCTTGGCTGTGGGGTCTAAAGAGTCAATCAGGGTTGTCCTCACGGGAAACCACTGACCCCTCCACGCATTAACAACTAGGAACTGAGGCAGATGGTAGCTAGCACATTTACCCCACACTCACCAGCACTTCTCACATTAGAATCTAGTTCTCACAGCTGACCTTAGTGCATCTCTGTCCCTGTTCCACAGAGGAGACTGAACCAAAGAAGTTAGGTTGATTGGACCAATATTACTCGGTCAGGATGCAGCAGAGCCAGGATTCCAGAAAAGGGATTTGGCTTCTGAGGCCCCTGTTCTTATCCATGCAATTTCCCTGCCCAAAGAAGGTACTTGCCAGAGGCACTTAGCTGAAGTCTCAGTACACCTCTCTGACTCCATTAGATACTCATGAAGTTCACTTCTAGCAAGATGAACAATAAACATTAAAAGATGGTAAGGTGATGGTAAAGGCTAAGGTGAGAAATAAGGCAAGGCATGGGGGATGGGATGTATGTTGACCAGGGGCCTGGAGGAGGGGAGGGCAGGCACTCCAGATCACTAGAGAGAGGGTGGTCCATGAATAGGGCACTGCAAAGGCAAAGGCGTGGAGGCCTGCTGTGTATGAGAAACACCTAAGAAGCTGTTTCTGGAACTAAGGGAGGAAAGGGAAGATTAGGAGGAAATGAGGCTGATGAAATAATGGGTCTTGCTGAAGCAAAGAGCTGATTCTACCCCTCCTGTGCTCAGAACTTGCAATGGTCCCTCATTGCCCTCAGGAGGTGTGGGCTCTCACTAGAGCCTTCAAGGTCCTCTAGTCACTACCCTCCTACCTCAGACCCTAGAATCCAGTCAAAATTAACTTCTTGGTGGTCCACCAACAAATCTCAACTCTTAGGAGCTTCAGGTTTCCTTCCTGAAAAGCCCTGGCTGGTCTCACCTCTTCTTACCAACTTACTCAGCTTTAGTGAGGGCCCTTCATTCTCCACCACGCTCAAGGCTGCCAACAAATTGGTCACAGGGGGGCAACCTCAAAGGAGGCTGACCTCAGTTCACACACCAGCAGCTTAAACTGACATGCTTTGAAATCAGACCAACCTGCTTTCAGATGCTGACTATGCCACCATTGGGTGACCTCCTAACCTCAACTTTTCTAAGCCTTAGTGCCTAGTCTGGAGTGTGGAGATCCTCAGCTATTGTGCAGATTCAACATTTCTCTCAAGTGCCCATAGTGGTGCCTGGCTTTCAAGAATGGAAACCATTACAATAATATTATCACTCTGTATTCCTTGAATCCTGAATCCCACAATCCCTACCACACAAAATCATCACTATGTTCTTCCAACATGCAAATAACCCGCATCTCAAGATCCTTGCACATTCCCAGTCATATCAGCAAACCATGACAGTTTTGCTACCCTTCCCAAACCTTTTTCTTTTTCATGCCTTATTGCATTGGCTATGATCTTATGAATGGTGTTACATGGAAATGGATAAAGTAGATGTTCTCATTCACAATCTCACAGGGGAAACTATAATTTTTCACCATTATATTTGGTATGTGTTGTAGATTACTTGTACCCTAACATCATAAAAAAACTATTCTTGGACTGGGAATGTAGCTCAGTGATAGAGTGCTTGCCTGGGTGAGAATCTGAATTCCATCCCCAGCGCTGAAAAAGAAAAGAAAACTTTCTATTCCTAATTTGTTATATAAGATTTTTTAATTATGAAGAATTTCTCTGTACCAATTGAGGTGTTCTTATATATCCCCTTTCACATAACATCTTAAATCTGATGAATTAGATTATTTAAATGTCACTCAAGCTTTGCAGTCTTTTTTTTTTTTAACATTTTATTTTTCAGTTATTGGCGGACACAACATCTTTGTTTGTACATGGTGCTGAGGATCGAACCCCGGCCGCACGCACGCCAGGCGAGCGCACTACCGATTGAGCCACATCCCCAGCCCAAGCTTTGCAGTCTTATTAGCTCAATTTAATTGTGGCATGTCATCCTTTTTAGGAATTGCTGCATGCCATCTGCTAACACAGTCACATGTTGCTTAATGGTGGGGTTACTGTCTGAGACTTGTGCATCGGTTATTATTGTGCATGGAGTGTACTAAGCTACAAGGTCGCTAGGTGATATAATCTTAGGATACCATTGTCATATATATATACCCATTGTTGATGGAAACATCTTTGGGCCCAACTGAACTTTGCTTAGGATTTCAGCAACTTTTCCTTTCCCCTTGTGTCGTTGGGTCTTGGTATAAAGATTACATTAGACTCATAATGTGTCTCGGAGCCTGTCCACCTGCTATTCCCTCTAACCAACACTCTCCTTGCCCCCCCCCCAAAAAAATCATCATTTACCCCCTAACTTCCTTCAGATCTCAGCTTAAATGCCACCTGGTGAGGCCTTCCTTGGCCTCTCTATTTAAAATTGCAAACCATCTCCCATGCCTGGTAATCCCTACTTTATTTGTCTCCGTAGAAATTACTCCCCCATGCCAGGTGTGGTGGCGCACACCTGTGATCCTAGCACCTCAGGAGGCTGAGGTAGGAGAATCACAAGTTCAAAACCAGACCCTCAGCAACTTAGTGAGACCCTGTCTCAAAAAGGGGTGGGGGAGGAGGCTTGGGCTGTAACTCAGTAGTAAAGTGCCCCTGGATTCTAAAAACAACAAAGAAATTGCCACCCCATGGCTGGCACGATATATATTCTGCCTAGTGATCAATGGCGTCTCCATCGTCAGAAGGTCAGTTCCACAAGGGCAGGGATCTTTTCTCTTCCCTACTGTGTCTCCAGTGAACTGAATAGACTATGTCCTTCACTCCTCCCCACGGGAGGTAGGTACGAGCACCTGGTGAACCTGCTGACCAAGATCCTGAACCAGCGGCCCGAGGAACCCCTGTCGATCCTGGAGTCTCTGAACCGCACCACGCAGTGGGAGTGGTTCCACCCCAAGATGGACACGCTGCGGAATGACCCAGAGATGCAGCCCACCTACGAGATGGCAGAGAAGCAGAAGGCGCTGTTCAGTCGGGGCGGGGGCGGCGGCGGCGGCGAGGGCGAGCAGGAGATGGAGGAGGAGGTGGTGAGTGAGCCAGTGGGGAGAGGAGTGCGGGGGGCGCCGTGGGAACCCAGGCTTAGGGTGCGGCCTGGGCTGAGACCTGGCTGAGGCCAGAAGCGACTTCAGTCTGGTGTGTGGGTGGGCGGGGCGCAGAGCAGCTCCTCTGCTGCTCCTGGGGCGCGGTGGGAGCCTGGAAGCAGGGGAAAGGCCGGGCAGCTCCGCTGTTACGTAGCTGACCCCCAGGATCTTGGTCACCACCGTCTCACTCTGGAGAAGGAGGCTGGTCTCGCCTACCACACCTTAGCCCCCACCTCCCTCTCCAGAAAATAACTGTGCCTTGGGACGTCTTCCTGAAACTCAGGGCCTCTGACTCTGAATCCATCGCTCCCCTTCCCCCAGCCTTAGTTCCCCGTGTGTCAACTAAGTCCTGCCAGGAACTCTTTCACCCGCGACTCGGTAACCTTCTGCCATCCACAGGTTTCCGGAATTAGATGATGCTTAAAATTTAGGTAAAATGTCCTTTCAGTTCAACAAACTTTTGTTTAGGATCTAAGAATCCTGACATCTTTAGTCGCTTGCTAAGGGATCCAGGAGTGTTGTCTTATTTTGAAACAACCCCGCAAGGCAGATGTTATTTATGATTCTCATTTTATGGAGTTAGAAACTGAGGTTCAGAGGGCACTCAACTAGAAAGTGCCCAAGAAAGGAAAAGGAAGGCAGGACCATGACCTCTAAAGCCCAGGCTGCAGCCTCTCTACACATGTAGATAAGGCTTGTTGGTCGGCCTGCTTGTACGTTTCTGATTCTAGGATTCTGCACACAGTGGGGTGGGAGGACGCAGGAACTGCACTGTGACAAATGAATGAATCCCTAGGTGAGCAGAGGGCACAGGAGAATCCAAGCGCTACGCCGGAAGGGTAGCTTTTAACTGCCCTGAAAATACGGGTTCAAATTTCAGACCACCACTTCACCCTCCTAGAACTACACCCGCTTCTAACCCAAGTCCTTGGTGGCCCCACCTCCTAGAACGCTGTGCCCTCAGAGGCCCGCCCCCTTAGAACGCCACGGAAAGGGAGGCTTCACCCCTCAGGTCGCCTTTCCCTGAAGACCCGCCCCCGTTGATGGGTAAACGAGTGATGCTCCGCCCCTTTAGGATGCCTAGTTCTGGGAGACCCACCCCCTTGGAACTGCAGAGCTGGCCCCGGCGGGTGGCTCATGCCTGTTATCCCAGACACTCTGCATCGCAAATTCACACCAGTTTTAGCAATTAGCGAGACCCTCAGCAATTTACCAAAACCCTTTCTCAAAACAAGAAGGGAGCCCGGCGCGGTGGGGGACGCCTGTAATCCCAGCGCCTAGGGAGGCTGAGACAGGAGGATCCCGAGTTCAAAGCCAGCCTTGGCAATTTAGCGAGGCCCTTAGCAACTCAGTGAGACCCTGTCTCTAAGTAAAATACAAAATAGGGCTGGGGATGTGGCTCAGTGGTTAAATGCCCCTGAGTTCAATACCTGGTACCAACCAAAAGTGCTTGCCACTAGCCTTGCATGCACAAGGCCCTGGGTTCAATCCCCAGCACCACCACCAAAAAAAAAAAAAAAGAAGAAGAAGAAGAAGAAGCAGCCTGAGCATATATGGCTCAGTGGTAAAGCACACCTGGGTGCAATCTGAAGTACCAAAAAAGAGAAAAACAAGAGTTCTCAATTTGGGTCAGTATATGGCAAAACTGTGGGTGCTGTTTCCTAAAGAGATCAGTGATTAAGCGTTTTGTTTTTCTGTCTTGTCTGAGCAAATCTCTTAAATTCTCACATTTTCTATTTCTTCCAAATGGCTAGGTACACACAATCCCTAGAAGTATTTATAGAATAATTCATTCTTTTTCTCAAGTTTCTTGAAGTGCCACCCCCGGCTGTCTCCACCTCTGGAGCTGGCCCGCACTCTCCCTTGGGTGTTCCTTGCTTTACCTCAAAAGCTTCTTACTCTCAAGATGGCGGTATTCTTCCTGGAATTGTATTTCTTACTTTTTCTTTTCTTTCTTTTTTACTTTACCCTTAAAGACATCTCTCCCTTGTGATAGCCCACATTCTCCCTTGAATCTGTATCTGCTTTTCCTAAATAAATCGGGGCGCAGGGTGGAGAAAGAAAAAGAAAGGCTACCTGTAGCACTGTTTTCTCTGGGATGCACTCCCGGTTTCCAAGTCGCTGCGTGCCTTTTGGCCCACGCTGGGCTCCTGTGCTGTGTGCATCCGTCTGGCAGCAGGGCTTGCTATTTTGGTAGCACACTTCCCATCCTGTACCCCTGTTTTGAAAAGTGTCTGACTCGTCTCATTTATAATTTTAGACTAACTGTAGTTATTTTTTAAACCACATTCCAAAAACTAACACCTTACTGTACTTGTTTGACAAGGGAGATCATTTTAAGTTAAGAAACATATGATTCTGGAGAAATAGACACAAGTGGCTTGGACAAGATCCACCGTTGCCTCACACATCATAGCCAGGTGCTGACTGTCCAGGACTGGCAAAGTGGCTCCCCCCTAGTGAAGGCGCACGGAACGCTACCCTCCCCCTTCACTCAACCTCCCTCCCTGTTCTTCAACCAAGAGAGCAGTTCCTAGAATCAGAGCAGCCTGACCTAAACTCCGTCTCTGTCCACTGCAGTCAGTAAGGCTTATTTTTGGTGCAAGTGTTTGATTAAAGCAGTCCAAGCAGTTCAGCAAGACACCGTGGCTTGAATGTGTCTCTGCTTTCCTAAATACATCTTCGACTGCATCTCTGAAAACAAGAAGATTAAACAACAACAACACCTGGAAGTGGGCAGAGCTGGTGCAGAAGCCCTGCAAGGCCAGGAGGAACTTAGCTCTTTCCTACACCTGTGCCACCTTCTTCATCAGGTCCACATTTCATTCCTGAGCCGGTCACTTTTTGTTTGCAAAGTGGCTACCACTGCCCCAGACATCCACACCTCCTTCCAGAAAAGGAGGGATATTTTGCTTGATTGTATGTCTCCCTCCATTTTAAAAAAATCAGAGGGGCAAAAGTTTCCCAGAAGTGCCTCAGAAAGCTTCCACTGGCATCTCTTTGGCAGACAAGGTGGGTGGTGGAGGTGGAGAAGGGGTTGGGGACCGTTCTGGATTGAGCAGGAATTCAAGGGTAGGGACAGGGCTGGATCTCAGGCACAACTTGGAACCAGGGATCCCAATGGTCACATCACCTCTAGGCCTCTCTTCCCACCTCCGCTACTTTTTCTTTAGGCCAACTTGTCCTTCCACATGGTGGCATGGAGCCCCCAAACCCCCCAGTTGCACATTAACTTGTTAAAAATTCCACCCAGGGGCTGGGGACATGGCTCAGTGGTAGAACCCTTGCCTAGCACATGTGAGGCCCTGGGTTTAATCCTCAACACCATGTAAAAATAAATAAATAAACCTATTATTATTATTATTATTTTTAATGCACCCAATTGCCACTAGGAATTCTTTTCTCCCAGATCCCAGGTGGTATTTTCCTGTGTATGGTAAATGGGAGAGAGAAAAAGGAACAAAGTACGGGCCACAGAGTTGGGTAGGTTGACTGGGAAGCTGAGGCAGGAGGATCACGAGTTCAAAGCCAGCCTCAGCAAAAAAGTGAGGTGCTAAGCAACTCAGTGAGACCCTGTCTCTAAATAAATACAAAATATGGCTGGAGATGTGGCTCAGTGGTCCTGAGTTCAATCCCCAGTACCAAACAAACAACAACAACAACAAAAGTCCAGGCCAGGAAGTGGGGGGGGGGGATGTAGAATAAGAGCTACAAACATGGCCTCTGGGGTCCGAACAGCTAAGTTCAAACCCAGTTGTCCCAGAAATGATTTCCGGGCAATGGGTGCCATTCATGCCATCTCTGCATCGAGCCACAGAGCAGGGTCTGATCTGCCATTTGGGAAACCCTGTGCATGTTGGGTTCATGGCCCCACCAAGCACATACCCCGAATAGTTGCCCACACCTAACCCTTCAACTTCCCTCCCTGCTGCAAGATGGCAAGTCATGGGGTTGGGTGTTGACTCTGCCTCCTGAGTTGCTGACGGCAACATGGGCTAGTGATTGAACTTTTGCATCATTTCAGATTGAGGGGAAATGCCAGAATCACTTTAAAAAGAATCGTCCTCCCAGAGTGTGAGTCAGGGAGTGGTCTCTCAAGCCTAGGACCACACAAGCCACCAGCAGCTGAGAGCCACATGTCGCAGTTCTTGCTGGTGCAGCTGTCCCCCCAGGCTGACCAAAGGGCTGAGCCACTGGGTCCCTTGGGAGCCTGGCGAAGGAGGGTGTACTGAGGCACAGCTTGCAGACTGCACATGGGCTCTTACATTTCTGCCCTGAGCAAGACACACATCCCTCCTGCTGTTATTTCCACCTGTCAGAGGAAGTGGCAAGGGGGGGTGGGGATGGGGAGGGAGAGACTTCAAGCATCTGTAAACAGTAGTGTCACCCAGCAGACCTGGGAGGAAGATGGAGTCCATTGTCCATTTAAACACTGTGCTCCAAATTGAGTTTTTTGTTCTGTTTTGCTTTGTTTTTGTTTTGTTTTGTGGTGCTGGGGGTGAATCCAAGGCTCCCCCAGATGAAGCCTGGGCTCTACCACTGAGCCACACCTGGGCCCTCAAATATGAACTTTTAAAAAGTTTGGAGGCCAGATGTAGTGGTGGTGCACACCTGTAATCCCTGCTTCTTGGGAGGCTGAGGCAGGAGGGCCGTGAGTTCAAATCCAGCCAATCCAGTCTCAGCAAAAGCAAGGGACTAAGCAACTCAGTGAGACCCTGTCTCTAAATAAAATACAAAATAGGACTGAGGATGTGGCTCAGTGGCCGAGTGCCCTGAGTGCAATCCCCAGTAGCCCCCCCCCCCAAAAAAAAAAGTTTTGTATCTTCATCAAATGGGATTATTATTATTTAGCGCCTCACATTATTCAAATGTGGGTAGAATGTGTCCTCCAAATCTCACTGGATTCTGCTGGATTCCATTCTCAGCTCTTAAGTTGTTCTCACCCTTTCTGAGCCCCCCTCCCCAGGGCCCCTGGTCCCCATCCAAGCAGATGGTGGAGCAGGAGGCAGTGAGGGCAGGTCTTCCCGCTCCATCCTCTGACCTCGCTGATTCCTCAGTGTGGTTTTCTTTTCTACCAAGGGACATTCTCCCCAGGGACATCCCCTGAACTCACTGGCCAAAACTGCTATCATGAGCCCTTCAGCTTCATAGTGTTTTCGGTTGCTTGACTCCAGAGTCAGACGAGGGCGCAGAGAGCTTCAGCCTTCTTCCCTCCCGCCTCCGCAGGTCGAGACCGCGGTGCCCAACATCATGGAGGCCGCCTTCTACTTCGAACAGGCCGGGGTGGGCCTGAGCTCGGTGGAGAGTTTCCGCATTTTCCTGGCCCTGAAGCAGCTGGTGGAGCAGCAGCCCATCCACACGTGCCGCTTCTGGGGCAAGATCCTGGGGCTCCAGCGCAGCTACCTGGTGGCCGAGGTGGAGTTCCGGGAGGGCGAGGAGGAGGCCGAGGAGGAGGAGGTGGAGGAGCTGATGGAGGGCGGCGAGGTCGTGGAGGCGCACGGCGAGGAGGAGGGAGAGGAGGACCAGGAGAAGGCGGTGGACGTTATCCCCAAGCCCACGTGGAAGCCGCCGCCAGCCATCCCCAAGGAGGACAGCCGCACCGGCGCCAACAAGTACCTGTATTTTGTGTGCAACGAGCCGGGCCGGCCGTGGACCCGGCTGCCGCACGTCACGCCCGCGCAGATCGTGCACGCCCGCAAGATCAAGAAGTTCTTCACCGGCCACCTGGACGCGCCGGTCATCAGCTACCCGCCCTTCCCCGGCAACGAGGCCAATTACCTGCGCGCCCAGATCGCGCGCATCTCGGCCGCCACCCACATCAGCCCGCTAGGCTTCTACCAGTTTGGCGAGGAGGAGGGCGACGAGGAGGAGGAGGGCGGCGCGGGCCGAGACTCATTTGAGGAGAACCCCGACTTTGAGGGCATCCCAGTGCTCGAGATGGTCGACTCCTTGGCCAACTGGGTGCACCACATGCAGCACATCCTGCCGCAGGTGAGGACCTGGGGCCCCACCCTCCACGCCCAGCGCAGAGCAGGGTGACTCAGGTGTAATCCGCAAAGGATCAAGCTGTTACCCTACTAGGCCTTGTGTTCAATAATACTCACCCACCCACCCATCCATCCATCATCCATCCCCCATCCATCCATCCATCCCTCATCCCCCTTACTCCCATCTATCCAGTCACCCACTCATCCATCCCCCGACTCATTCGTCCATCCATTCCCCACCCCCTACCCCCATCCATCCCCCACCCCCTACCTCCATCCATCCACTCACCCACCCATCCATCCCCCCACCCATCCATCCATCCATCCACCCATCTACCCACCCATCCACCATCCATCTTCCCATCCCTCCTTCCTTTATTCAACAGGCATTGGTTGATAATGCCCATTGGAAGTCCTTGGCACCAGAAACATTTTGAAGATCAGAATTTTTTCAGATTTTAAAAAGATGGTTCACTGCATGTACCATACATTATGTAACACATCAGGCAATGGGCAGGGGGACTCCAGCCCATAGTTGAATGCATCAATATTTCTGTAGCAAATTAGAGTAAACCTCTCATCAGCTCAGGTTGCTGCCAAAACACACACACACACACACACACACAGAGTTAAACACTTTTTTTTTGTACTAGGAATTGAACTCAAGCTCCCTCCACCCCTGAACTACATCCCCAGCCCTTTTTCTTTTTTCTTAATTTTTTTTTCTTTTTGGATTGTTGATGGACAAAATACCTTTATTTTACTTATTTATTTCTTATGTGGTGTTGAGAATCGAACCCAGTGACTCGAATATGCTAGGCAAGTGCTCTACCAACTGAGCCACAAACACAGCCCCTTTTTTGTTTGTTAATTGAGACTGGGACTTCTGAAGTTTCTGAGGCTGGCCTTGAACTTGCAATCCCTTCTGCTTCATCCTCCCCATAGCTGGGATTATAGGCGAGTACCCTGCTCCTGGCCTGCCAAATGACTGATGAAAAAATTTTTTCTTCTTTGTGGTGCTTAGAATCAAACCCAGGGTCTTGGGCTGCTAGGAAGTGCTCTTCCACGGAGCCACATCCCCAGCCTCCAAACATTTGTGGCATTCTGAGCTTTTTAGATTTTAAAGTGTGAGCCAAGGGTCATGGGTCTGCATTTATTGCATGCCTGGTACGTCCCAACTGTACATCATACATTTATTCATTTAAGGAAGCACCTGCTGCATGTGGGAGGAACTTTTAATTAATTAAACTGTTATTGACTTTATGGGGTTTTATTTTTTTAATTGTAGACTTTATGTTTTATTGAATCTAAATAATTCCCTTTTTTGAATCCAAATAACCCTGTACTGGGTCAAATGACTCCTTTCCAGATCAGTACAACTGACCATTCCTATTCCGTGGTGATGAGACAGGGATCTCTCTATGCTGTGCACTTGAGTTCATTCCTTCAAGAAGCATTCAGCTCTGGGCAGCGTGGTAGTGCACGCCTGTAATCCCAGTGGCTCAGGAGGCTGAGGCAGGAGAATCATGAGTTAATTCACAGCCAGCCTCAGCAAAAGCAAGGTACTAAGCAACTCAATGAGACCCTGTCTCTAAATAAAATATAAAACAGGGCTGGGGATGTGGCTCAGTGGTCAAGTGCCCCTGAGTTCAATCCCCCACCCCCTGCCAAAAAAGAAGCATTCAGTAAGTTAGGTGAGAGGCTCACACCTGCCATCCCAGGAACTTGGGAGGTTGAGGCAGGAGGATCGAATGTTGGAGGCCAGCCTTAGCAACTTAATGAGACCCTATCACAAAATTTAAAAAAGGGCTGGGGATGGAACTTAGTGGTAGAACAGCATGGGTTCCAATTCCAGCCCCCCACACACACAAAGAAGAAGAAGGAGAAGAGGAGGAAATGGAAGTGTAAGCAGCAGCATTCTTTGGCTCTTGAGTGTCTGTGGAATCCAACAACAATCCAGTGACAGGCACACCTCCATTCCACAGACAAGCAGAGAGAGGACATGGGCTGCCAAGTGTTAGCCAATTGAGGGCAGAAATTTTAAGGTCTCTTTGCTCAAGGATGTGTTCCCAGCACCCAGAGCAGGGCCTGCATCTAGCAGCTGCTCATTAACTATATGATCAATTCCTGTAATCCCAGAGACTAGGGAGGCTGACGCAGGAGGATCATAAGCCCAAGGCCAGCCTCAGCAGTTTAGCAAGGCCCTAAGCAACTTAGTGACACCCTGTCTCAAAATAAAAAGTAAAAAGGGCTGGGGATGTGATTCAGTGGTTAATTGCCCCTGGATTCTATCCCTGGTACAAAAAAAAACTATCAATAAGTGAATATGGGGGTCATAGTCAATGGTAGGTAGGAGGCTCCACCTCACTAGGATCATCTCTCGACTCTTTCTCCCCAGGCCCCTGGCCTGGGTAACTAATCCTGTCTTCCTGCCTGTACCTGGGTCCCTAAGGACAGGGCCAGTGTTCCAGTGTCCTGCCTGGCCCTCACCTCCAACCCTGGTGTAGGCTGGCCTCTGCCACTGGGGATGTCACCTGACCTTTCCTCCACCCCCAGGGCCGCTGCACTTGGGTGAACCCTTTGCAGAAGACAGAGGAGGAGGAAGAGCTGGGTGAGGAGGAAGAGAAGGCGGATGAGGGAATAGAGGAGGTGGAGCAGGAGGTCGGGCCCCCACTGCTGACACCGCTCTCCGAGGATGCAGGTAGGGTTTTACCCGGAGCCTTGAGGAGGGCTGGGTAGGCAGACTGCCCAGGGCCATCCATCAGTGAGGCCATCTCTTCAGGTCTCAGTTGCTCTCATCTGTAAAATGGGCATCACGAACTGCCTCCCCATGGGTTATGGTAATGCAACCATATTTGGAATCACACCTGGCACCTGGCAATGGCCCTGATCTCAAGACATGGTCCTTTGAGTCCCATGTGGACTTGGGGGAGGGATATATGCTTAGGGAGGCCCCTGCAGAGGAGGCAAGACTTAGGCTGGACTTTGGATGAGTGAACAGGGATTTCTATCTTTTTTTTTTTTTGTACCAAGGATTGAACCCAGGGTGCTTAGCCACTGAGCCCCATCCTCAGCCCCCCCCTTTTTTTTTAAATTTTGAGACAGGGTCTTACTAAGTTGTTTAAGGCCTTGCTAAGTTGCTGATGCTGGCCTTGAACTCGTGATCTTCCTGCCCCAGCCTCCTGAGCCTCTGGTTATGCAGGAGTGCCACTATGCCCAGTGACAGGGATTTCTTGAGGTTGAGGTACCTGAAGGAAAGAGGAAGGAGAGGCTCGGACAGGGTAGGAGAGGGTGAGGGGACAGAGCCCAGATGTGAACCCAGATTCCATGAGTCTGCAGCCTGCGCCCTGCCCTCAGCAGCTGGATCCACACTGATGACAGACCTAGGAGGGCCAGCTGGTGCCTGACACTGCAGCAGGTACACTGCAGACATTGTCACCAGGCCTCCCGGTCACCCTGCAAGATGAGTATCCCCATGTCCCTGAGGCCTAGGCAGAAGCCGAAGACTGTGCACTGGTTTGTGGCAGTTCCCCTGGGCCCTCCAGTCCTCCAGATTTGTTCCCTTCCTGTCCCCCACCTCCTCTGGAGGAGGCCGTGCAGGACACAGGGACCCCTGACCTCCCTATCACTCTCCGCTTCTTCACTGCAGAAATCATGCACCTGTCACCCTGGACCATCCGCCTGTCCTGCACCCTCTGTCCGCAGTACTCGGTGGCCGTGGTGCGCTCCAACCTCTGGCCAGGGGCCTACACCTACGCGAGTGGCAAGTAGGTCTTGTCCCTGTCCCTTCCATCAGGAGACCCCCTAGGTATTCTTCAGAACCAGGGTAGGCAGGGAAGCTCATTAGGGTGGGAGAGCCTGGGAGAGCCCCTCAGGAGCCGCCAGGACTGACCTTCCCCAGCTCACAGGGGTTCCACTGGGGCTAAAATGAGACGTCCCGTGCTGGGCCAGTGCATGAGCCCACGGCCCCAGCTACTCCAGAGGCTGAGGCAGGAGGATATTGAGCCCACGAGTTCAAGGCCAGCCTGGGCAACAGAGACTCCACTCCAAACAAAACAAATGCCAGATGAAAGTATGAACCCCTTGGAGGAAAGAATGGAGGATCAGAGAGGGGAAGAGACTGGCCCAGGGCCACACTTGTGGGATATAAACCTGGATCTCTGACAGGGAGTCTCATCTCTGGGGGACCCGAATCCTCTCCTGGGTCCCCTGGATCTTCCAGTTAAGGGTCTTCTCTCTATAGGGCAGAAATCTTTCCCATCAGGATCCTGCTTCAGTTGCTGTCAAAAGATGGGCAAACTGAAGTCACCCCTGCCTCCTCCCATCCTGGCTCCACACTCCCCTCAAGTTCCTCAGGGTGCTACCAGCCCTGTCCACCAGAGGGCAGGATGGTTTTCATAGATTTCCTTTTCCCCTATAAATGTGAACCTGGGCTGCAACCCCATGTTGTCACTGTGGGATTTCACATAACTTGATACTTTAACCACATCCTTTTCTCTCCCTCCCTCCCTCCCTCCCTCCCTCTCTCTCTCTGTACTAGAGATTGAACCCAGGAGCAATTTACCACTGGGCTACATCCCCAGCCCTTTTAATTTTTACTTTTGGGACAGGGTCTTGCCAAGTTGCTTAGGGCCTCGCTAAGTTGCTGAGGCTGGCCTCGAACTTGCCATCCTCCTGCCTTAGTCCCTGGAGTCGCTGCGAGTCGCATCACTGCGCCCAGCTCTTAACCACATTCTTGGCTATTATTTTTTTCTTCTCCAGAAGCTTGGAAGAGGCACATTTGCTTTTGCCAAAAGGCTTCTGATCACACCCTAATTTACCTACAGCCCTCTGAGTGCAAAAGTTCCAGAGTCTGAGCTCCACTTGCTCATCCATCCTCCTCCCCCATCCAACCACCAATTTCACTCACCCTCCCATTCAGCCGCCTAGTCTCCATCCATTATCCATCCACTTTTTTTTTTTCTTTCATAAAGATTTGAGCCAGTCTGGTGAGATGCGCTGTCATTCCAGCGACTCAGAAAGTTGAAGCAGGAGGATCACAAGTTAGAGGGCAGCTTCAGCAACTTAACAAGACCTTGTCTCAAATTTAAAATAAAATAATAAAGAAAGAGCTAGGGAAGTAGCTGTGTCTTAAAGTGCATGGGTTCAATCCCACTACCAAAAAGAAGAAAACCTTGAAGTAAACTATTTGCCAGCTATGTGCTGGACCCCAGGCCCCAGAGCAGATGGAGGGACACAGGCATTACTTGTACAACACTCCTTCTACCCCTCCCACCAAATATTCTGTGACAAAGTCTTGTAAGTGCCACCAGGATAGTGCAGGGCCCACTGACAGTACCACACTGCCATTTTACTAGGGCATCAGGGGATCAGGGAAGGAAAAACAACCCCCTTTGATCTGAACTCTGCAGGAAAAGAAAGAGGTGTCAGGGAGAGGCAGGCAAAAGGAGCCTCGGATCCCCAGCATCCTGTTCTGTGGGTGGCGGACTCAGCCAGGATCTAGCTAAGATGCAAATTCTGGTTCTGTGTGTCTGGGATGGAGTCTGAGATTCCCCATTTCTATCAAGCTCCCTGGTGAGGCCAAACCTTCAAAGCTACTGGAGCCAGGACAGGCGGGGATTGGGGGGCTTCCAAGGAAGCCATGTGTTGGAAGGCTCCCAGAGAGCCCTGGAGAGTTGTCAAGAATGCTCTTGAGAATTGCAAAGCCATGAAAATAAGGTCAAAATAAAACTGCTCCTCCAGGGCCAGAGCCCTGTGTCTCTGTGTCTTTCTCTCTTGCTCCCTCTAGTTCTCTCTGCCCCCCTCCCTGTCTGTCTCTCCTTCTCCCTTAGTCCCCTCCTCTTGTCCTGTTTGCTCCTCTTTCCTTCTCTGGACAGGTAGAATTGGTAGAATGAGGATCAAGGATCCATTCTTGATTATTCAGCCTCTCAAGAGAACACTGACAGCAGGGCCACTTTGTCTTATTTATTTACTGCTGTGTCCCCAACACCTGGACCATTTTATTTAGGTTCAACATAAATAACATGAGCCACATGTGTAATTAAAAATTTTCTAGTAAAATAATCAGACAAAATGAATGTTAGTAACATATTTATCCTGAATATATGTTATAATTACTTGGTGATATCAATCATGAAATAATCATTAATGAGCTATTTTTCATTCTTGTTTCACACTAAGTCTTCAGAGTCTGTATACGCAGCATGTCTCAATTTGGATGCTACATTTTTCAGAAAGACTTCACAACATTTACAGTTAAAAGAGGAGGTCCTTGTTCCCAAGTTGCTCCAGGCATACTAAGAAGTTTTCCAATAATGGAACTGAGTATCAGTTTTATTATTTAAATTGAAATTCACTAAAATTAAATAAAATCCACTTCAACCAACGACAGCAGAATCCCTTCGTCTCAGGCCTATCCACAAAACATGCTCTGGGACAGATCTTCTACTGAGTCATAAAACAAATCTCATTTGATATAAAAGGATTGAAATCATATAAAATATGTTTCCTGACCACCACAGAATGAAATTAGAAATCAGTAATAGAAGGAAACAGGAGAAATTCACAAATGTTCGACAAAACAAACAAACAAACAAACAAACAAACATCTAAATCACAAATGAGTCAGAGAGGAAATCACAAAGCAACTTAAGAAATTAAATAAAATTTAAAATTCAGTTCTCCATTCCCAGTCGCCACTTTTGAAGCGCTCTATAGCCACAGGCGCTGGGTCTGTGCAGAATAGGTGCCCAGGGAATAGCTCAGAGAAACCCTGGGGGGCACCTTTCACCTGTCCCCTAGGGACTTTGAAATCCTGTGATGCCCATGCTTGCTCTCATCCTTAAATTTCGTGATATCTCGCTGCTCTCTAGGAAGTTTGAGAACCTCTACATTGGCTGGGGCCACAAGTACAGCCCCGACAACTTCAACCCGGCCCTGCCAGCCCCCACTCAGCAGGAGTACCCCAGCGGCCCGGAGATCACGGAGATGAACGACCCCACGGTGGAGGAGGAGCAGGCCCTCAAGGCTGCCCAGGAGCAGGCCCTGGCGGCCGCAGAGGAGGAGGAAGAAGATGAGGAGGAGGACGAGGATGAGGACCTGGAAGACTGAGCCCCTTTTCCCAAGCAGGTAGACAGCAGCTTTCCCTTATATATAGTTAGTTTTGAGCTGTTTTCTCGCTACTGATTTGCTTCCCGCCCCTGGAGGGCAGAAAGGAAGCTTCTCAAAATAAACTCGGTCCCGCCCCCCCAGCAGGGCCAAGTCATTCATTCATCTGTTCACCACATTTGTTGACCTGGATGCCAAGCCAGGGCTCTGGGGCTCTTCTGGGGACACAGACATTGCCTGGTAGTCATTAAACAGGACTCCTGTCAGCCCAGTCCTGTGCCCAGGACACAGAGGTGACCAAGTAGCTCCAGCCTTGCCTTCCTGGGCTCAAACACTACACAAAAGACAGACAGTGGCAACTCAGATGATGGGGCTCAGAGGACTGACAGAGCTCCTGAGCAACTCTGATAGGGTCAAGAAAAGAATGGGGAAGGGCATTCCCAGAATAGGGAATGGCATGTGCAAGGCCCCAAGAGCAGGAGAGTATGATGTGATGTACTGAGGTACTTTCTCAAACATGTTTACATGGGACTTAGTGTGAAGGGGTAGTGGTGAGAGATAAGGTTAGAAAGAGAAATTGGCAGGGGCCAGATCACACAGGGCTTAACTTTACCCTGAGAGCACTAGGGATGGCAGGCGGTCACCAGCAATAGAAGGTCCTGAACATATTTGTGTTTTAGAAAGATCCTTCTAAATGCCAGCCCCGGCCCTGCCAGCCCCCATTGGGAGGGTAGGTAGGGGTGACACAGCAGGCTGGGAAACCAGAAACAAGGTTGATGCAGGTGATGGGGGGGTCTCAGGAAGCCGAAGACGAGTTTGGACAGGGCTGTAGAGAGGAAAGAACGAGGAAAGAGGAATTCAGGCAGTGGAAAGCAAAAGACTTGGGAACTGGAAGAGAAAGGGAGTGAAGAGAAAAGGTACAAATCTAGGAAGACACCTGGTCTGTGGCCCAGGTGACCCTAAGACCGGGACACAGAGAGGCACAGGATTTGGAGTAAGATGCCAAGTTCACCATATGACTTGTTGAGTGTGAAATACCTCTGGGGCATTCTGAAAAGAAATCTGGGAAGTCACTGAGTACGTGGGTTTAGGGCATGGGTGTCTTCAGCAGAAGTGAGGGGAGACTTTGGGTTACTGGATCGATCAATCGGACACTGGTGACAAGGCAGGAACCAATAAAATTTTAGAAGCAGACATGGGTTTTGGAGGCGTGTGGTTATTGAAGATAGTGAAGTCATGGATTATATATAGGAGGTTAGTGAAAAATTAACCAATAGTGGATCAGATGGAATCCTGGGGGGCTTGTGGATACACAGGGGTCCGCCAGGATTTGAGGGACCATCAAGGGCTGGGGGAGAAGTGATGCTTGTGGTCAGCCAGACTTTGAACTGTCAATGGAAACTCTGGAGGTCAGTAGGGTGTATTGTTGGAGCTCTAAGAAGACACAAGGATCAGCTGGGGTCAGCTGTGACGTCATAGGAAGGATCCAATTTGAAGGAAGCTCTCTCTTGAGGGTCTCTCCGTTGCTAGGCAAACGGTCCCCAGAGCGCCGTTGTTAGGGACTGAGATTTCCAACTGGCCACGCCCTCTTCCCCTGAGGGCCCTGCCCCTGCAGCCAATCACAAGTCGGATAGCGACACGGAGGCCGCGCCCATCTTTTGGCCCCGCCCACAGCCCCAGAACAGTTACCCGAGCTACGGCCGGGGCTCTTCCCGCCCCCGGACCCGGGTGCCAATCGAAGAGGCGTCGCCAGGGCAACGACCCCACCTCTTCCGGTACGGGCCCCCGGCTTCCGGTAGGGGGCCCGGCTGCGGGCGGCGGTCCGGCAGCGGCGGGGCCCGGGGGGCGCCCAAGATGGCGGCCGGCGGCTCAGAGAGCGGCTCGGGCCCCGGTGCTGCCATGGGGGACTGCGCGGAGATTAAGTCGCAGTTCCGCACCCGCGAGGGCTTCTACAAGCTGCTCCCCGGGGACGGCGCCGCTCGCAGGTCGGGTCCGGCTTCCGCCCAGACCCCGGCGCCACCCCAGCCGCCGCAGCCCCCGCCCGGCCCTGCCTCCGCCTCCGGCCCCGGCGCCGCGGGCCCGGCAGGGTCCCCTCCGCCTGCAGGCCCTGGGCCTGGGCCCGCGCTGCCGGCGGTACGCCTTAGCCTCGTGCGCCTCGGAGAACCCGACGGCGCCGGCGCCGGGCCCGGGGAGCCGCCCGCCACGCCCGCGGGGCTGGGAGCAGGAGGAGACCGCGTCTGCTTCAACTTGGGCCGTGAGCTTTATTTCTACCCCGGGTGCTGTCGCCGCGGGAGCCAACGGGTGAGTGGCCAGCATCGTGGGGGCCTGTGTGCTGGGAAGACGGAGGTCCCAGGGAAGTGATAGGAGAGTCCCCAGATTGACGTGGGGCCCCGAGAAAGGCATCCTAGATGCAATTGACATCACAGGAGACAGGATTCTTGGAGGTAATGGAGGACTGAAAGGTGATGGGGGAATTCTCCAGCGTGGCGTGTTCTGGACGCGGGGGCGCAATCTGAAATGATATGAGGTCTCCCCCACCGGGTTCTAGGGTAGCAGGCATTCTGCAGGTGATGGCGAATCCTGAGGTGATCAAATGGGCAACTCATAAGTCTTGGCAGTCTGGAGGTGTTGGAGGGGTTCTTAAGACATGGGCAGCACAGGAGTGAGGAAGATTCTGAAAGTATTAGAGGTCTTAGAGGTAGTAGGTGACTGAGATCCTAGAAAAACTGGGCCTGAAGGAATTGAGAATCTAAGCTGATGGGAGATCTGAGGTGATGGGAGGTCCTGATATGGGATCCTAAGGGTCATGGGCATCTCTAAAGTGATGTAGCTCCCAGAGGGGCAAAACCCCTGGAGAGATGGAGATCTTGAAAGCCCAGAAGTAAATGAATGTATCTAAAATGTGAGGGAACATGAGGTTGATGGGCCCCTGAACTGTGCAAATTGAAGGAATCCTGGGATGTTGGGCTTTAAAGTCCTTGGGACTTGAGTGACCCTTAGGTTTTGGGGTCTTAGAATATTGTGCTATGTCCCAAGGGAGTTGCTGAGGTCATGGAAGAGAGCTGAACTCAGCAACCATAGGCACCATAAAGCCTGATGGCTATGAGTGAGGATGCCCCTAAATTCAGGGTGGGAGGGCCCAACTTTGGAATGGCACTGTGATCTTTGGAAGTATGCTTCTAGATCCATTCCAACCCCCCTTCCTCCTCCCTATCCCCTCCCCTGCTTCCGCCCCCCTCTGATATTTGGGTCTCCTTCCTGTCTGTGGTTGCTCACTCCCTCCCCACCCACCTGCCCACTTCCCTCAGGGATTTAACCTTGCTTCCTCTTAGCGGTTTCCCCCAACCTCAGCCTCTCTTCCTTCCTCTCAGTGGTATAAACCAATAACTGCTTTTCTCCCACTGCTCAAGTCCATTGACCTCAACAAGCCTATTGACAAGCGGATCTATAAGGGCACCCAGCCCACCTGCCACGACTTCAACCAGTTCACTGCTGCCACAGAGACCATCTCCCTGCTGGTGGGCTTCTCAGCTGGCCAGGTGCAGTACCTGGATCTCATCAAGAAGGACACCAGCAAGCTATTCAATGAGGAGGTGATTGCAGACCCCAGATAACCTTTTTTTTCCCCATCCACTCACATGCTATTTGCCATAGGCTGCAGCTCCTGAGAGCAGTGTAGGCCTGAGGGGCGGGTGGCGAGGAGGTAAAGAATGAATTGCCAAGGGCATGTGCCATGTTAGCCCTGTACTGAACACTTTATTTCTAGAGTTTTCATCAACAGAACGAGTAAGAAATTATGGTTCCCATTTTGCAGATTAGAGGACCGAGGCCAGCTACTGTTTGGGACTTTTTTGTCTTGCTTTGCAAATTCTGAGCTCTGTGGGTTTTGGATTCGAATCCCTTTACTCACTGTGATTTTGGGAAGGTGACTATTCGAGTCTCAGTTTTCCTCCTCTGTAAAATTGTTTCTCGTCCAGAGAAGACTATTGTAAAATTATACATGGAGATTGGCGCCTGGGCCAACTTGGCTAAAGAGGAAATGCCAGCAAGTGACCTTATCTGCAAGCAGGGACTGCTCTTGTCCTGTATCTCATTCTTAGAGAAGGTGTTCCAGAAATATTCTCAGAATGAATGGCTGAAGGAAGTGAGTGAAAGAGTGAATGGATTAAAAATTCATTAGCTCATCCATTCACAAAATAGTTATTGAGCATCTATCCTGTGCCAGGCATCGTTCCAAGTACATCTCAGTGAACAGACAGACAGACGGGCCTGCTCCCGCTGAGCCTTCAGTCAGGCTGGGGAAGCAGGCACTTGAGATGAGCTCAGCGTCCAGTGTGTCGGCAGGTGGTAAGACCCGTGGAGAATGCACTGCAGGGAGGGCAGGAGGGGTGCTGGTAAGCTTAAAGAGGGTATTAAGGAGGAACATTGAAATGAAGACCTGAAGGAGGCGAGAAAAATTCCCAGGGAAGGACATTCTGAGTAGAGGGAATGGCCAGGACAGATTCCCTGAGGCAGGACAGCCAAAGGCCCTGTGGCTGGAATAGTGATTGGGAGAGAAAGGAAGGTAGATGAAATAACCTGGGGGGGTCATGCAGAGCTAGAAGGTCGGGGGACTGCCTTTTCCACGTTAGGCGAAAGCTGTGGAGTGGCCTTTCACAGCTTGGTCAGTCTGAACCATAGAACAGAAAGGGTTTTCTCAGCCCCACTAGGATGGAGGCAGCTTGGACCCCTGGGAGAGGTTTGTCCTTCACACACAGTGACTACCTCAGGGCTTTAGGGCTTGGTCTTCTCTAGAACCCCAGTTGGGGAAGGTTGCAAAATATTTGTTCCAGGCAGGGCAGGGCCAAGTGCTGGCTTGTATTTAAACGTATCTCTCTGGTGACGTAGAGAAGAGCCAGGCGCTGGACACCAGGACGGCAGCACTGAGGGGTTGGCAGCAGCTGGAGCCAGGGTGGCTGGAGTAGGGTGGGAGGGCGGGGTCAGTTCTAAGGGTCCTTTGAGGGGTAAGCCCACAGGATATGTTGGAGGATTGGATGTGAGTTATGAGGAAGGAGAAAAGAGGAGCAAAGGTGCCTGGAAACTTCTGAGCAGCTGGCAGGAGGGGCTGTCATTCACTGGTCCAGGGAGTTTGTTCAAGGCACCCCCTGTGTGAGCTGCTCACGCCAGGCCCAGAGCCCGGAACCAGACAGAGCAGGATCCCTTCATTTCTGTGAAATTTCTTTCTTTAAGCTTGACATGGTGAAGAGGAGGGAGAGCTTTCTCTGACGGGCAGGACTGTCCCCTTGCCAAAGATGGGAGGTTGAGGCTCCTTAGAACTCCCTGGGGCCACCTCCAAGGTAGACTTTGTTCCCTGGCCTTCCTATGATCTGGTGTCTGTCTCCCTCAGCCTGGGAGTTGCTGTGCCGGCAGGGCCTGCTGCGTGAGCTGGCGCATGTCCCAAGGCCTTGGGGGTCTGGGTTGGGCACAGGTAGGCCAGGGGTTCTTAGCTTTCTCCCAATCCCAGTCTGTCTCCCCTTGCAGCGGCTGATCGACAAGACTAAGGTGACATACCTGAAGTGGCTCCCTGAATCGGAAAGCCTGTTCCTGGCGTCTCACGCCAGTGGCCACCTCTACCTGTACAACGTCAGCCATCCTTGCGCCTCGGCCCCTCCCCAGTACAGCCTGCTGAAGCAGGGCGAGGGTTTTGCTGTCTATGCTGCCAAGAGCAAGGCGCCCCGCAACCCGCTGGCCAAGTGGGCAGTCGGCGAGGGGCCCCTCAACGAGTTTGCCTTCTCACCTGATGGCCGACACCTGGCCTGCGTCAGCCAGGATGGCTGCCTGCGTGTCTTCCACTTCGACTCCATGCTCCTGCGGGGGCTCATGAAGAGCTACTTTGGGGGCCTGCTATGCGTGTGCTGGAGCCCTGATGGCCGGTATGTGGTGACAGGAGGTGAAGATGACCTGGTCACCGTGTGGTCCTTCACTGAGGGACGGGTGGTGGCTCGGGGCCATGGCCATAAGTCCTGGGTCAATGCTGTGGCCTTTGACCCTTACACTACACGAGCAGAGGAGACCACAACAGTGAGTGCTGATGGGGATCGGAGTGGTGAAGAGGAAGAGGAGCCCGAGGCCACCCGCACCAGCTCGAGTGGGGGAGTCCCACTGTCCCCGCTGCCCAAGGCTGGCTCCATCACCTACCGCTTTGGTTCGGCGGGCCAGGACACACAGTTCTGCCTGTGGGACCTCACCGAAGATGTGCTCTCCCCGCACCCGCCCCTGGCCCGCACTCGCACGCTCCCTGGCACGCCCGGAGCCACGCCACCTGCCACGGGCAGCTCTCGGGGTAGTGAGCCGGGCCCAGGCCCCCTGCCCCGCTCCCTGTCTCGCTCCAACAGCCTCCCCCACCCGGCAGGTGGTGGCAAGGCCAGCGGCCCAGGCACAGTGGCAGAGCCCGGCACTCCATTCAGCATCGGCCGCTTTGCCACCCTCACGCTGCAGGAGCGACGGGACCGGGGGTCCGAGAAGGAACACAAGCGCTACCATAGCCTGGGCAATATCAGCAGAGGCGGCGGGGGAGGCAGTGGCAGTGGCGACAAGCCCAGCGGCCCCGCCCCCCGTAGTCGCCTGGACCCTGCCAAAGTGCTGGGCACCGCGCTGTGCCCACGCATCCATGAGGTGCCACTGCTGGAGCCCCTTGTGTGTAAGAAGATCGCCCAGGAGCGGCTGACGGTGCTGCTGTTCCTGGAGGACTGCATCATCACCGCCTGCCAGGAGGGCCTCATCTGCACCTGGGCCCGGCCCGGCAAGGCGGTGAGTCGCCGGCCCGCAGGAGGATACTCTTTGGGAAGAGGCGGGTGTGGGCAGAGGGTTTGTCATGGCACAGCCTCTGGCCACGTGGGATAAGGGCAAGCGTGGAGATCTTAAGTGTCGCAGAACAGGACCTCTGAGGCTTAGGGTTGGCTTCTAGAGCCCTGGCCTTCAGTCAGCAGAGAAGGCCAAGAATGAGAGGGAAGGTGGCAGGGCCATGGCCACCTACTGAAAGAATAGGCAATGGTCCCAGCATGGCTCAGTCTTAGTGCTTGCCACTTGAACTAGAAGCTATTTCTATTGGAAAATCTGGATTTTAAATGTTGAGCTTTGTAAAGTACTTTGGGCCAATATTCCAGGGGCGAGTTGAGCGGGGGGCCTGGCTCTGGCCTGGGTACTGGGCTCTGAGCATCTGAGCCCACTGCAAACTCTGGGCTGGCAGTTAGACCCAGGGCCCAGGCCTGCAGTTCTGCTCTCTGTGCGATCCCAGGCAAGTCACCACCCTTCTTTGAGTACTCATTACCTCTTAGGGCAGAGTGCTTTTCAGATGGCCTGTGGTGAATGCCCCCACCTCTCGGGTGGCTGTGGGGTTTAGGCACCTTGTGAGTGTGGAGCTGGTCTTGGTGTCTTGTCTCCCTAGGGTTTGGGCATAGTACCTAGGATCCCAGATCTGAGGGTTGCCACTCGGATCCTTGGGGCCTTGGTTTCAGAAGCTTAGAGTTCTGCATCCCTGGAACCCAACAGCAGTCTCAGAGGCAGGGGTGGGGGGGCTTGGGGAGTCGGACTAAGTCCTAAAAGAGACCCCTCTGTCTCCCTAGTTCACAGACGAGGAGACCGAGGCCCAGGCAGGGGAAGGAAGTTGGCCCAGGTCACCCAGCAAGTCAGTGGTAGAGGTAGGACTGTCCCTGAGTTCTTTCTCCTCCAGCATCTCAGGGGTTCATGTCAGAAGTCCCCCCTCCATTCAGCCCCTGTCCCATCATCTGCCCAGGATTACCGAGGACTTGAATTATTTTATCGGAGTGCCGACTGCCGCAACAGGGAAGTTAGCTGAGCTGTGTGTGCCCCAGCCTAGGGTGGCAGCCTCAGATCTGGGGTGGACTGAGGGGCAGGGCCAGGGTGGCAGCAGCCTTGAGGACTCCTGGCTGGCTCCTTGTGTGGGCATAAGCAGAAGTCCCAGCTGGTTTCTAACCTCTCCCATCTCCCTCTCATCTTCCCCAGGGCATCTCCTCCCAACCAGGCAACTCCCCAAGTGGCACAGTGGTGTGAAGCCGTGGATGTCGGGGGTCCCCCACCCCATCCCCCCAACCTCCTAGCCATAACCCTCCCTGCTGACCACGGATCAACATATTAACAAGACTAACATGATGAAGGACTGCTCCAGCCCCCCGCCCTGCACAAATATTGGGGGTCCCCCAGACTGGCCCACATGTGGGGGATGTAGCAGCCCATGGGGCCTCAACCTTGTCCCCACCCACTGCCAAGTACAATGACCCCTTCCATTGAAACATCAGTGTTAACCCACATCCCTGTCCCCAGCATGTGACTGGTCATTCCTGGGGAGAGCCTCCCCACCACAAGGAGCTCCAGCTCTGCAGTGCCCCTGGCTGAGGGGGCAGGGGGCTTCCACCCTCTGGCCCTCCCCCTAGCCCACCCCTCCTGCTATTGTCTGTGCTTTTGAAGAGTGTTAAATTATGGAAGCCCCCAGGGCCCTCCTTGTCCCCCATGACCTCTTATTTATACTAAAGTTCCCTGTTTGCACAGCGCTGGGTCCCCTCTGCGAGTGAGAGGAAGTGTGTGTGTGTGTGTGGCTGCTACAAAAGGAAGCAGCTGCCAGGCCTGCCTCTCTCAGCCTGGGGAGGGACAGGGAAGACAGGGTCCACTGCACATGGAGGTGGCACCTTGTGGGGGGCCTGTGGGAGAAGAGTATCTGATTACTCGGTGTCTTGAAGGGGACAGCAGGGGCCCCTCTTTGTCAGTGGGATTTTGAAAGTTGTTTTAAAGTATCACAGCTACTCCAGGGCATGCCCAGAAGCCCAGTCCCCAGGCAGCTCCCAAGGTTCCCTGTGAATACCCTGAGCTACCTTGGGACAGGTCTTTACTGCCCGATGCCTCGGGCCTGGCCCTGCCTTGGCCCGGTATCCAGTGCCACTGGAGGCTGTGATTTCCTGTGGAGAGAACTGTCCACCCTGAAAAGACAGACTGATTCCTCCTGGCCACCTCTCAGAGCCTCAGGGAGTGGCGCCTTCCCGCTCCACCCCCGACATGTTTCTGTTTCTAATCCCAGCCTGGGCAGGAATGTGGCCACCAGGCCAGGGGCCAAGGAGCTATTTTGGGGTCTCCTTTGCCTGGGGAGGGCCTGGCCACATCACTTTCCTCCCCCAGCCTTTGGACAGCAGGTCACCCCTGGCCGTGGCTTCTGAGAGCATCCCCTCCCGATTCTCTCCTTACCACCCCTTCCCCACCTCCCGCCAAAGAGAAAGCGTGAAGCAGAGGGCCCAGGGGCTAAATTTAACTGTCCCAAAGTTGGATTCCACTGCTGAGTCACAAGAAAGGCTGCTCTGGCCTCCAGCCCCCCTTCCCAGGCCTCAACCCCTTTTGCCTCCCCCCCACCCCGCAGTGCTGGGGCTTGGCAGGAGCCAGGGGGGTAGGTCCTGGGTCACGGAGCCTCGATTGGCCCCTCTGGGCAGTGGGAGGGCTCTTCTGGACCTCGTTCACACTAGCTTTCCCCAGGCTCCACCTTTTTATTGGGGGTGCAAGTTAAGATTCTCAGTTCCCGCAGTCTGGCACCACAGTGTTCTGAGGGGTGCTGGAAGGAGAGTTGGGGTGTTGGCTCTTGAGGGGTTAAAGCTGGGAGGCGGGAGGAGGGCTGGACAAAGGGGTGGGGAGAAAAGTAGGAGGCCTCAGCTGCACAGAAGTGGCCAGAGGCCCAGGGGACAGTCAGGGCAGGCAGACATGCGGCCAGGACTCCGGGGCCTGGACAGGGTCTGCCAGGCCCCGTGACAGGAGGACCCCGTGCCCCGGCCCGGGGAAGGGCCATGGTGCTGTCTGCCCAACATGTCAGCCGAGGTGCGGCTGAGGCGGCTCCAGCAGCTGGCGCTAGACCCCGGCTTCCTGGGGCTGGAGCCCCTGCTCGACCTTCTCCTGGGCGTCCACCAGGAGCTGGGTGCCTCCGATTTGGCCCAGGACAAGTATGTGGCCGACTTCTTGCAGTGGGGTGAGTGCTGCCTTTGTGGCCCCCGTGGGTGGGGCGGGGACAGGGGCCTGGCTCTTACGGAGCGGGACAAACATGGAGAGATCTTGCACGGAGGCCCAGAGCTTGGACCTGGGTTCTGGGGCAACATGCCCCTACCCACTGTGCCACCCTAGCAGGGCAGAGTAAGGCCAGCAGAGGCCAGGGCAGCCGTGACTCCGAGCCATGGCTGGGGAACCATGGCAGGCTAGGCTGGGCCTGGCCTCCTGTTTTCTTCCTGCTCCTTCTGCCCCAGTCCAGAGCTAGGACATGTTTGCAGCCATCTCCTAGGACCCTCTCCCCCAAATGGCTTCTATGGTCCTCTACCCTGGTTCCCAAAGTGCAGGGGTTAGCCAAAAGGGATTGCATGGGCAGCTGCCAGGGGTGTAGCTGACAGGCAGGTGCTCGGCGCCAGCCTTTCCAGCTGCCCCAACAGGTGCCCAGGCACCCGAGAGGGTGCAGTGACTCACAGGCCCTGAGGAAGAGCCAGCTCTGCAGACAGGCGCCACTAGATCCCCATCCTCCTGGTTGAGGAGAAACAACTTGGGGTTGTTCCCTTTCTCCCTGGGTTCTGTGATGCCACCCTATCCCCCATATATTGGTCCCTGCTAGCCTGGGTGGGCCAACCCGTGCTCCCTGCCAGCTCCTGCCTCCTTTGGTGGTCCTATTTCAGGGCCTCTAACCCTCTAGCTGTTCTACAAAGACCCTTTTCAAAAGGTCTTCCCAGGACCTGGGGATAAGTCTGGGGGGGAAATGCCCCATGGCCAGTTTCCTGCCCCCATGCAACACCCAGCACAGTTTCAAGCTCTCTTTAGTTGCTGTCACCTCAATACCTTGTCGCTTTGTCACTCCACATGCCTGTTCCCCAGTGTCTTGCTGTTGGCCCTTGGCCTGTGTGCCCTTCTCAGTCATTGTCTGAACCTTTCCCAACTCCCTTTGGTCCCCTATCCTTATGATTCAGGGCCTGCTCTTCTCCTCCTCTCCCATTTCACAGATGGGAAGGTGGAGGCCAAAGGCTAGGCCACTCAGTCTCTGGAAGACCCTCCCCTCCCCACCCCTTTCCTCTGTGACTCTCTCGGTCTCCCTTTTACGAGTGTAAAGCTGGCTGGCAGGGTAAACTGAGATCTGGGATGGGGGCAGGGGTCTGGCTCTCCTGGAAGAAGCAAGTCCTTTTGTGGCCTGAGCTGCATCCTGCAGCCCCTCCCCTGCCAGGCTTCCAGGGTGGGGGAGGGGGCCTGGGTTCCTGCTGCCTTAAAAGGGCTCAATGTCTTGGCGCTCTCCTCCCTCCCTCGTCCTCCCCTTGGCCGGTTCTTCCCTGTGGGCCCACTTTCCCTGAACCCCCTCTCTCACCTCCACAACCTACTCAATTTCCCCTCTTTAATGCCCATACCCATCCCTTTTCTACCCTGCCTGCCAGGTTCTGGCTTCTTCCACCCTGTGGGAGGCCAGGCCTCCCTCTGAACCTCCCACTGCCCCTGAACCTCGGCCTCCACTCCTGGCCAGTACCCCTTGCTGCTGAGCCTTTCTAGCCATAGGCCCTCCTCAGCTGGAGCCCTCCTGCTGCCTTCCGGGAGGACTGCTGGACGCCCTTCCAACAGTGCCCCAGCTGTGCCTTGGCACTGGTGTCCCCTCTTTCAGGCCTCCTACCTCCAAATTCTGTTTCTCAAAATGTGCTTCGAGAAACACAGCACCTCATCTAGACTGCTGGACACAGCTGCAGCTCTGGGTCATAGCCAAAGACATACAAAATGAAAAGTTTGGGATTGGGGACGGGGACCGGAGACGGCACCTTAATCATCATCCAGAGTGAGGGTGGAGGGCCTGAGGCTCGGGGGTCTGGAAATGGGCTGTCTCTGCACCTGCTCTTCAAGGCTTCCGATCCGGGGCATGTGCTGCCCAGCTCTTCCCACCTTGCATCCTCTGGCCCAAGCCCTGTGCCAAAAACAGGTCCCCAGTCATCTCTCCTCCACGGGGGGGTCCCAGAACATCACATGGTGTTTATGTGGGAGAGCTACAGTGGAGCTGAGGGGCAGGGAGAAGGGGAGACTGAAGGACAGACCCTTGTCCATCCAAGTGACCCTCTGTTTTTCCTCTACTGCAGCGGAGCCCATTGCAGCGAGGCTTAAGGAGGTTCGACTGCAGAGGGATGACTTTGAGATTCTGAAGGTGATTGGACGCGGGGCATTCAGCGAGGTGAGTCCTGAGTGTCCCCGTGGGCCAGCACTCTATTTGCTGTGGGTGGGGCACAGGAGCTGGAGCAGGGCCTGAGAAATTGATGAATGGACTGAATGTTAGAACCTAAGACTGAGCCTGGGCTGGAGGCGGGGCTTGAGGCCCAGGGGCCGTGGTGTGGCCACTGCAGGGTGAGGCCGCAGCTGGGTGAAGATGGTGGTGGAGTCTGGTCCAGGCCCTTTGGTTTTCCCAGTCATCTGGGCTACTCTCAGTCCCTGTGTTTCCGCCTGCAGGTAGCAGTGGTGAAGATGAAGCAGACGGGCCAGGTGTATGCCATGAAGATTATGAATAAGTGGGACATGCTGAAGAGAGGAGAGGTGGGGGCCCGGGCTGGGGGTGTGGGGGGGAGGGTACAGGATCTGCTCTCCTGGCCCTTAGCTCCTCCGGGTGTCACACAGGTGTCGTGCTTCCGAGAAGAGAGGGATGTGTTGGCAAATGGGGACCGGCGCTGGATCACGCAGCTGCACTTCGCCTTCCAGGATGAGAACTACCTGGTGAGTTCGGTGGGGAGAGGAAGTGGCGGGCCTGGGGCGGCTGCCCCTGCACGCCTGTGAGAGTCTGTCTCAGGTAGAGGAGGGGGTGGGAGGTGATGTCCGCAGTGCCCCTTTCCTGGCGATTCTGGGTGTTTGTGTGAAGAGCCTGTTGGAGGGAACTTCCCTGGAGTGAGAGCGCTCTGCAGCATTTCCGGAGCAAGGCTGGGAGTATCTGGGATCTATCTTCTGAGCCTTGGGAGGTCTTTTTTCCCTTAGTGTCTCTGGGAGGGGGAGCGGATCTGTCCTGGGACATCCTGGGAGGGTCTCTGATTTGGCCTTGAAGAGCTTTAGGGTTTCTCTGGTATGGGGCTGCGAGGACTCTACTCAGGAACGGGTGGCTCTGGGAGTCCTTGCCTCTGGGGGTCAGAGATTGGTGCCTAGGGAGGGCTGCTGATTCCCATGACGCGCCCCCTCTCAGTACCTGGTCATGGAGTACTACGTGGGCGGGGACCTGCTAACGCTGCTGAGCAAGTTTGGGGAGCGGATCCCGGCCGAGATGGCGCGCTTCTACCTGGCCGAGATTGTCATGGCCATAGACTCAGTGCACCAGCTGGGCTATGTGCACAGGTGGGCGTGGCAGGGGCTGAGGGGCAGGGCCTGGGCGGGGCCCTGAGAGGGACAGCCGGGCTTGTATGGGAAGGGTCCTGGAAGATGGAACCCAGAGCTGACCGGTCTACAGAAGGACCGCTTCACCTCTGTTGGGGCTCACTGGGGGCGGGGCCTGGGGAGTGAGGTCCAGAACGGCAGAACCCTCACAGGGGCGGAACCCTAGGTGCGGCACTAGGCAGAACTGCCGAAAGGGGCGGAGCCTGGCGAGATAAAGACTCAACATTCTTCCCTCTTCCCTCTGCATAGGGACATCAAGCCGGACAACATCTTGCTGGACCGCTGCGGCCACATTCGCCTGGCAGACTTTGGTTCCTGCCTCAAACTGCGGGCTGATGGAACGGTGAGCAACTCCGCCCACCAATGAGGGGACGTGGAGGTGCGGTGTGGGGGCGGGACTAAATTTAGAGGCTGGAGAAGGAAGGAAGCTACCCTGGACCAAGTGTGTCCTCTAGCGCAGGGTTGGACAGGTCAAGGAGGTGGGAGGGGAGGGAGCACACATTGGGTTAGGAGGTGGTCAGGAGGACTGCTCTGGTCCTGTTGGCACAGGTGCGGTCCCTTGTGGCTGTGGGTACCCCGGACTACTTGTCTCCAGAGATCCTGCAGGCTGTGGGCGGCGGCCCTGGGACAGGCAGCTATGGGCCTGAGTGTGACTGGTGGGCGCTGGGTGTGTTCGCCTATGAAATGTTTTACGGGCAGACGCCCTTCTACGCCGACTCTACGGCTGAGACTTACGGCAAGATTGTCCACTACAAGGTGAGCTCAGCCACAGCGACCCGTTGCCGCTCCACAACTGCTCCCAGGCCACCATCTCTTCTTTCACTCTTCCTCCGAGCAGGAGCACTTGTCTCTGCCACTGGCAGACACTGGGGTCCCAGAAGAGGCTCGAGACCTCATCCAAGGTCTGCTGTGTCCCGCGGAGATAAGGCTAGGACGTGGTGGAGCAGACGATTTCCGGAAGCATCCTTTCTTCTTTGGCCTTGACTGGGAGGGACTTCGAGATAGCCTGCCCCCCTTTATTCCGGACTTCGAGGGTGCCACCGATACTTGCAACTTTGACGTGGTGGAGGATGGGCTCACTGCCATGGTGAGCGGGGGCGGGGTAGGTATCTGCGGCCCCTGTTCGGCTGAGGGAAGCTCCCCATCCCCCTTCCATAAAATTGGGGTAATTACAGTGCCTACCTCTGGGGTTCCGAGTCGTTCATTCCCTGGAGTACCTGCTGTGCCCACCCAGTGCTCGGGACCCAGTCCAAATGGGGAATACAGTCCAGTCCCCAGAGTTATCAGGGCTGAGATGGAGTACAGAGGGCTGGGCTCTTGACCCAGAGGGAAGGTGCTGGAGGGTTTCCTGGAGGAAGGGGCTATCTGAACTAATTCCTGGAGGAATGAGAGGAGAGAGGCAGGAGAGGAAGCTTCCTTCCTTCCTTCCTTTGTCCATCTCGCCTTTTCTCTCTCTCTCTCTTTTTTTTTTTGGTACCAGGGATTGAACCAGGGATGCTTAACCACTGCCACATCCCCAGCCCTTTTATTACAGACAGGGTCTCGCTGAGTTGCTTAGGGCCTTGCTAAGTTGTTGAGGCTGGGTTTGAACTCGAGGTCCTCCTGCCTCAGCCTCATGTACCACAGTGCCCAGCTGCCCTTTTCATTTTTTATTTTGAGATAGGGTCTTGCTAAGTTACCCACGCTGTCCTGGAACTTGAGATTCTCCTGCCTCAGCTTCCTGAGTAGCTGGGCCTGGTGTCAGTTTAACAAGTTGCCCCTGAATCCTTCACTCAGGCCCAGGTGCCCTTCTATTGGGCAGTTCTGGAGACATAGCACTGACCAAGTCAGCTCTGGCCCCTGCCCTCATCCACTTACACCCCAGAGAAGGCTGTGATTAGAGTGTGGTGAGGGCCTTGAAGGGGAAGCAACAGGAGACTAGAAAAAATGATGGGGAGGTCATTTTAAATGATCCTGGAGTTGGAGCACACCTAAGCCATGACAACAAAGACAACTGTTGGGCCATGATGACCAGCAGTTGTCAGGGACCAGCCCTGGTAACTGCTGGTCACATCTGTGTGTCCCTTGTGTGTAGGAAACACTGTCGGACATTCCGGAAGGTATGCCGCTGGGGGTCCACCTGCCTTTTGTGGGCTACTCCTACTCCTGTATGGCCCTCAGGTAAGTGCACCTGTGCAGCATGTGAGGTGTAGGAGGGTGCCGGCCTGCAGAGGCCCGAGGAGGAGGCTCAGGACCACTGTGTCCAGGCTTATTGGTGACCCATCGGTTTGTGGGATCAGTAGTCTTTTTTCTTTTTGCAGGATCATTTTAGGACAAAGCACTCTTAGGAACCCTAAAGTACTTTAACATTTTAGATTCAATTGCAAAACCTTAGAGCCCGTAGGCTTGGTCTTCCAGAATTCTGCAACCCTAGACTTTTACATTTCTAGTACTCAGAGTCAGGGGTAAAATAAGCTTGGAATTTTACAATCAATTTTAACAGAATATAGTCATGTAACAATAAAGCCTTTAAAAAGCATCAATTATGTAAATGAGACTGCTTATCACAAGTAAATTAAGAAATAAGATTAAGGAAGAGGAAGCTTGCATCTGAGCCCACCATTCAGCGACATCCCTGCCTCGAAGCTGGCAAACATGTTTATCCACTGTGAGAACAGGTTGCTTCCTAATCTGCAAACGGCATCCCTTATCAGTCATGAGCATGTCTAGTCTCCTCCTCACCGCAGGTCAGGTCAGGTCAGGTCAGGTCAGCTTTAACACATCCTGTTACAACCCAGGCTGCTACAAACCCCTGACTCTGAGTACAACAAACAGCCAACAGGTTGGTCTCAGAGCTTGTCCAGGGTACATAGGTCCTTGAGGCATATTCCCATGGGAGAGATTGCTGGTCAAAGGACGCCACTTTTATTGAAAGTTCATATTCTTAGGAGATCTCTGCCCTACACCCCCTCCTAGCAGCTGAGCATGAGGGGGTGTCCTAATAGCTTCAGTCACAGTCTGGGGAATCCCACATCCAGTCTTATGACCACATCTTTGAAGGTGCCCAGAACTTGGCAAGGTCTTCCTCATTAGGACCCCTTCCCTATTCTGAGGTCCTAAGGAGAGAGGTATGCAAAGGTGATGGGGTTAAGGGAGGAAATGTACAGACCCTGGAACATGGTGTCTGGGCCCCATTTCCATACATAAGAAAGGGCAGCTCCCAGGGGCCTGAGGCCACATGCGAGACAGAGAAGGGCCCCTTCACTCCCCCTCACCCCTGGTTGAACCAGGGGCCAGCTGCTCCATGCCCTTAGGCAGTGGGTTCCCAGGGCTTGGCAGCCTCTTGGGTAGGAAGGACTCTTCCTCCCCTCTTCCTCTTTGCAGGGACAGTGAGGTCCCAGACCCCACACCAATGGAACTGGAGGCCCAGCAATTGCCTGAGCCACGTGTGCAAGAGCCCAGCGTGGAGCCCAGGGTGCCCCCCCCAGAGGACATGGTGAGTAGCTGAAGGAGAGGCTGGTCAGTTGCAGCAGGAGGGACCCACTGGCACTTGCCAGGTGCCTTGTGCCTCTGGGAATTTAGAGGACAGAAACAAAGCAGCAGAGATAAGGTCACTTCAGTCAAGAGATGGTCCCTATGAGGACATCAGAACAGGGCACTAACTCTGTGTGTGCGTGGGGGGCTCTGAGGAGTCTGAGCCGAGCATTGGTGAAAGAGGCAGGGCCACCCATGGAGAGAAAAGTGTCCCATGGTCAGTAGAGAGAATATCAAGAGCAGAAGCCCTGAGGGGACCCTGCCGGTTATCTAAGGCTGATCTGTTCTGAAAAGTGACAGGAGGGTCAGTCATATGGCTGCATGGGTACATAAGGGGCGGGTACAGAGACCAGCAGGAAACAAACCAAGCAAGGCCTTTTGGTAAAGCCACCTTGTCCTGGGGCACTGGGGACTGGAAACATTGGATCAGGGAAGGGACATGGTCAGTCAAGCTGAGTTTTGAGAACAGCTCTTTGCTTCCTGTGTGGACAGGAGGGGACTTGCTGAAGCTATGGGGATTCTAGAGACAGGGTGATGGTGGGCAGTGGATAAGCTGTGCTCCAGGAGCCACAGGCAGCCCCAAACCCAGTCCCCACCCACAGGCTGAAGTGGCAGATCCAACTGCTGCCCCCGCGGCAGAGACAGAGTCGGAGGTGACCCTGCGGGAGCTCCAGGAAGCCCTGGAGGAGGAGGTGCTCAGCCGGCAGAACCTGAGCCTCGAGCTGGAGGCCATCCGCACGGCCAACCAGAACTTCGCCAGGTCGGGGTCGGGGCACAGGGTCCCCGACACCCTTGGCACTCTGCAGCCCAGACCCCAGTGGGTCACGTTTCTTTCCTCATCTCAGTCAGCTACAGGAGGCCGAAGCCCGGAACCGAGACCTGGAGGTGCACATCCAGCAGCTGCAGGAGCGGCTGGAGTTGCTGCAGACAGAGGGAGCCGCAGGCGAGTCCCTCATCTGCCCCCTTCCGGGAGGGCACCGGGAGGAGGTGGGCCAGCGAGGGGGACAAGTTGGGGGAGGAAAGGGGCCCAGGCTGGGGCACGCCGCGCCACCTCCCTTCTCTGCCCCTTCACGCGCCATACGCCTCTCTCTTCTCCTTCCAGCTGTCACGGGGGTCCCCAGTCCCCGGGCCACGGATCCACCTTCCCATGTAAGACCCCTCTCTTTCCCCTGCCTCAGGCCTGCTAACCCCCCTCCCGTACAGATTTAGGGCTCACCCTATCTCTTTGGGGCTCCGTCAGTCCCAGATCTCCCTCAGTTCGGGCCTCTCATCAAATCCCTCCGGGGATCTCCCTAGATTCCTCCCCCGACCTCGACTTTCCTCACTCTCACCCGCCCCCACCCCCTGCCGAAGGAGGCAGGGCTAGGCTGGGCTCCGATCGGGTCACCTGTCCCTTCTCTCTCCAGCTAGATGGCCCCCCGGCCGTGGCTCTGGGCCAGTCCCCGCTGGTGGGGCCAGGCCCCATGCACCGCCGCCACCTGCTGCTCCCTGCCAGGGTACGTCCCACGCTCTCTCGCCGCCGCTGCCGTGCCCCGGCCTCACTCCACCCACCCCATGCCACCACCGCTTAGCTGCACCCCTTCGGGGCTTGGCCTCCGCGGGAAGGGAGGATGCACAGGCAGCCAATCAATACAGGCCGCTAGGAAGTGGCCAATGATGAGCTGCGGATTTCAGACAGGATTTCTGGCTGGCGAGCCGAGAAGCCCCTGCTGCCAGCTGTAGGGGGTGTGGGGCGGGATTGGAGAATTGAGGACCCTTATAGGCATAGGCGGGTCGGCTCTCAGGAACCAATCAGGCCGTCCCGAAGTGCTGATCCCGCCCTCTCGCCCGTAGGTCCCTAGGCCTGGCCTATCGGAGGCGTGTTCCTTGCTCGTGTTCGCCGCTGCTCTGGCTCGTGCCGCCTCCTTGGGCTGCATTGGGTTGGTGGCCAGCGCAGGCCATCTCGTCCCAATCTGTCATCGCCCGGGAGCCACCTTCGTCCCCTGAACCCTAGACCTCAGGCTCGGTTAAAGGGTTGGGTGACCCGGGCTCGGCCTAGAAGCTGCTCCCACCGCCTCCCAGTTCATACCGCTCCGAGCGCGGGTCTTCGCCCAGCTCCAATCCTGTGATCCGGGCCCGCCCCCTGGCGGCCGGGAAGGGAGGAGCCGGATCCTTGGCCGGCGAATGGGGTTAGCGGGGGACTTGCAGCCAGGAATGTAGTTGCTGCTGAGGCTGCTGCGGCTGCTGCTGGGGGGAGTTGCCGATCACTGCTTTCTTCTGGGCTGGTTGAGGCCCCGACGTGGATGGGCAGATCGCGGTCCAGAGAAGGCAGCCGACCGGAGCTCAGCCATCCTCGACCTGGATGAGCATATCGCGGTCCGAAAAGGCAGCCGACCGGAGCTCAGCCATCCGATTTTCACCCTCCACGCACCTGCCATCTGTTCGCAAACCACAAATCCTCCCTGTGCATGAACTCCTATTCTCCCCGGAACGTTCTACCGCAGCGAACGTTCGGCGTCACCTCTGCCTGCTCCCTCGGGAACTTTTTGCTTTTGCCAGCCCCCCTCCCCCCTTACGTGCGCTGCTCTAGGAGCCACAGCTGGCTCCGCCCGTCTCGGTGGTTTGGATATTTATTGCCTTTATCCTCCGACTTGCTGACAGCCTCCAGGACCCCATCACCCTAATCCACGTTTTGGATGCACTGAGACTCGACATTCCTCGGTATTTATTGTCTGGCCCCACCTAGGACCCCCACCCCCGACCCTCGCAAATAAAAGACCCTTTCGTCTGCCTGAAGCTCTGGACTCCGAGGTGTAGCTGTGTACGCGTTATGGGGAGGAGGTTGCCCGGTGGGCCAATCAGGAGGCCAGTAGGGCTGGCCAATAGCTTGGCGGGGAGCTAGCGGGACGCAAAGAGGACGAATCGGGGAGGGGGAAGGGAAAACATGAGGGGCGGGACCTCGGCATCCAGCCAATAGGACATGGCGAGCGGGCCACAATGAGGCACCGCCCCCCCAGCTGTGGCTCAGCTGTGCCATCCCAAGGGTTGAGAAGAAGGGGGCTGGGCAGGCTACCGCGCCGCCGTCCTTCTTCCACTGCGTCTGCGCAGGCCACGCGCATCCGCTCCTGGGACCTACGCTTAAGAAAAGTTGCTGCAAACTTTCTCCCTGTTTCGCCCGCCCCTCCTCCCTGCCAGACCCGCCCCCCTGCGGAGCCGGGAATTCCGAGGGGCGGAGCGCGCGCCGAGATGGGAATGGGGGGGCCTTCAGAGGACCCTGGAGACTGAGGCGTGCAGAAGCTCAGTCTCCGGACGGAGGTGGCTTCGCGCCCTTAGCTCTCCTGGACGGACCGTTACCTTCTCTGTTGTCCCGATGGGGAAATTGAGGCCCTGAACCAGAGGCACACGCTGGGGGCGGCGGGGGGGACAAAAAGCGCGGCCAGAGGCGGAGGGAAAACAAAGGGAGAATCACGGACAGGCGGAGACGGGGACGGACACACAGAGACAGAGACCCAAGTGTAGATCTGGGGTCTGGCATTCGGGGGGGAGGGGGGGTGTGGCGAGAAGATCGGGAAGCGCTAGGCGGGGGCAGAAAGAGGGGACGGGCGGGGGAGGGGGCTGGTGGAAACCCGAGGGAGGAGAAGGAGGGAGGAACTTCCCAAAGTTGCAAAACATGGCTACCTTGCCTGCCGAGCCGAGCGCGGGGCCGGCGGCCGGTGGGGAGGCTGTGGCGGCGGCAACCGAAGAGGAGGAGGAAGAAGCGCGCCAGCTCCTGCAGACTTTGCAGGCAGCCGAGGGTGAGGCGGCGGCGGCGGCCGGGGCCGGGGCGGGCGAAGCGGCTGCGGGAGCGGAAGACTCGGGGTCCCCGGGAGTCCCTGGGTCACCCCCGGAGGCCGCTGCCGAACCATCCACGGGCCTCCGCTTCTCGCCGGAGCAGGTGGCGTGCGTTTGTGAGGCGCTGCTACAGGCGGGCCACGCTGGTCGCTTGAGCCGCTTCCTAGGCGCACTGCCCCCGGCCGAGCGCCTACGTGGCAGCGACCCGGTGTTGCGCGCACGGGCCTTGGTGGCCTTCCAGCGGGGCGAGTACGCCGAACTCTACCGGTTACTGGAGAGCCGCCCCTTCCCCGCCGCCCACCACGCCTTCCTGCAGGACCTTTACCTGCGCGCGCGCTACCAGGAGGCCGAGCGAGCCCGCGGCCGCGCGCTGGGCGCAGTGGACAAATACCGGCTGCGCAAGAAGTTCCCGCTGCCGAAGACCATCTGGGACGGCGAGGAGACCGTCTACTGCTTCAAGGAGCGCTCCCGCGCCGCGCTCAAGGCCTGCTACCGCGGCAACCGCTACCCAACGCCGGACGAGAAGCGCCGCCTGGCCACGCTCACCGGTCTCTCGCTCACGCAGGTCAGCAACTGGTTCAAAAACCGGCGACAGCGCGACCGGACCGGGACCGGCGGCGGCGCGCCCTGCAAGAGGTGAGGGGATCCGGGAGACGCAAGTCCCCCTTTCCCGAGAACACCAGCCTCCAACTCCCCGTGCCCACTGCTGGAGTCTCGCGCCGGGCTTCTTGGAACTTCCCGCTCACATCCTTAGGCCTCCGAGATGCATAGGGACTAAGCGTGGATGGATCAGGCCCACGTCCTCGTTCCTCTCCTCCGGGGACCTCGAGCGGAGGCCCGGAGACCTCTTCTTCCCGCTGCTGCACTCAAAGTTCCAAATCAAACCCCCCTGTGTTCGGGATCTCTGTGGGGCAAACAGTGCCAAAATGGGGGCCTCTAAAGGGGGTGGGGGAGGGGCCCTTGCCCACCCTACCCCGGGGAGGGGTGGCTTTCTGGGCGCTTTCGCAGCCCGGCCCTTCCCTGACCGTTACTCTTACCCACCCCCACGCCCCCTCCAGCATGAACAGCATGGTCCGGCCCCTGCCTTTGTTGTGAAACGTGAACCTTCCCCGGCTCCGGTTTCCCTGTAACCCAAGCCCTTCCCCTCCCACCCCGCGCGCCTCGCTCTCCTCTGACGCCTCTTGGGAGGGACGCTGGGAACTGAGCAGGCAACTGCCTCCTCACTGTCCAGGCCACGCGTCTGCCTACCCAGGGGACTTGGGGGAAGCCCTGGTGCACGGCCCTGCCCAGAGGCAAACGCCCGGAAAGCAGGCTGTTCTTCAGGTTGCTCCAGAGTTAGCTTTCCCGCGGTGGTGGCTACCAACGCAGGGTCCTTGGGTGGCCTTGGGATGATCTATGACCCCTGGAATAGTCCACAAAAGCTGGGGCTGGGACAGGTCGGGAAGCAGGGGTCAGCCCCTGCTCCTGAGAGAATCCCGTCCTCAGGGATCACAGCTAACCACCCTTTCTCCCTCCAGCGAGTCTGATGGGAACCCCACTACTGAGGATGACTCCAGCCGAAGTCCTGAGGACCTGGAGAGAGGGATGGCCCCAGTGGCTGCCGAGGCTCCCACCCAGAGCTCCATCTTCCTGGCAGGGGCCACCCCTCCCACTCCGTGTCCCGCCTCCCCCTCCATCCTGGTAAATGGGAGCTTCCTGGCTGCCAGCAGCTCCCCAGCAGTTCTCCTCAATGGCAGTCCTGTCATCATCAACAGCCTGGCTCTGGGAGAGGCCTCCAGCCTGGGGCCCCTACTGCTCACAGGAGGAGGGGGCGCCCCTCTACCACAGCCCAGTCCCCAGGGGACCAGTGAGGCCAAGACCTCCCTTGTCATGGACCCTCAGACTGGGGAGATTCGCCTGGAGGAGGCTCAGTCTGAGGCCCTTGAGACCAAAGGAACCCAGGTGGCTGCTTCGGGGTCAGCTGGAGACGACATGGCAGGGCCCCTGCCCCAAGTGGTACCTGGCCCCCCACCAGCTGCATCCTTCCCTCTGCCTCCAGGACCAGTGCCCACTGTGGCTGCCCCCCAGGTGGTGCCACTCTCCCCACCCCCCGGGTACCCCTCGGGCCTGGGGCCCAACTCCCCACTATTGAACTTGCCCCAGGTGGTGCCTACCTCCCAGGTGGTGACCCTGCCCCAGGCTGTGGGGCCATTGCAGCTGTTGGCAGCTGGACCGGGCAGCCCTGTGAAGGTGGCAGCTGCAGCAGGCCCTGCCAATGTACACCTGATCAACTCCGGGGTGGGCGTGACTGCCTTGCAGCTGCCTTCAGCCACCGCCCCAGGTACTCCCTCCTGCCTCCCTACGGCCTGGATGCAACTTGGGGTAGGGATGTCACTGGGTTCTGGGAGGAGGAAGCATCTCATCCCTGGTGTTTCCCTGTGCCCTCTGCCAGTGTGCCCCAAAGTTTTTGCCACACATCCTGAGGGAGCCATTTGCCTGCCCTCCAGCAGCTTCATCTCTACATGCTCTTGGTCAGCTGCTTCCAACTCTTACCTATTTCCTCTCCCCACAGGAAACTTCCTCCTGGCCAACCCTGTGTCTGGCAGCCCCATTGTCACAGGTGTGGCCGTGCAGCAGGGCAAGATCATCCTCACAGCCACCTTCCCCACCAGCATGCTGGTCTCCCAGGTCTTGCCACCGGCCCCCGGCCTGGCCCTGCCCGTGAAGTCAGAGGCAGCCATCTCAGTGCCTGAAGGAGCCCTCCCAGTGGCCCCCAGTCCCGCCCTCCCAGAGGCCCACAGCCTGAGCACACTTTCTGCACAGCAGCCAACACCACCCACTGTGGCCACCTCTGCAGCCAGTCTGCCCTTCTCCCCGGACTCTGGCCTCCTGCCCAGCTTCCCAGCACCCCCACCAGAGGGTCTGATGCTGTCACCTGCAGCTGTGCCAGTTTGGCCGGCAGGGCTAGAGCTGAACACAGGAACAGAGGGGCTGCTAGATGCAGAAAAAGGGCTGGGAACACAGGTTCCTCACACCGTGCTGAGGCTGCCAGATCCTGACCCTGAGGGGCTGCTACTGGGGACCACGACAGGGGCTGAAGTTGATGAGGGGCTGGAAGCTGAGGCTAAGGTCCTGACCCAGCTACAGTCGGTGCCTGTGGAAGAGCCCTTGGAACTGTAACCCGCTCAGCTTCATCACTTCTTCTGACAATGGTGCTCAAGATGCAGGGACAGTGCCTGGGTTGGCAGTCTGGGGATCCTACACACACTACATCCCTCCAGCCTGGGTGGCCTCTCCAAGTCCTAGAGGTGCCAGGGAACACGCTATCCACTCCCTGTCTAGGATTCTGTCCCTCTCTGCACGGGAGGCCTCTGTTACAGCCCTCTCCTTGCTGTCCTGCCGTATGTATGGGGAATTTGGGGGCCTGATGCAGGCTCTGCTCTCCTCCACCTGGTACTAGCTGTGAGCTGAAGACCCTGCGGAATGGCCAGATCTCCTGCTCCCTCTTCTCCCTAACACACTATTAATAGCTCCACTGATACCCCGTGTTCTCAGAATGCTTGGAATCCGAGGGTGGAGGACAAAGTTTTGGGCCCAGAGACTGATGGACCCTTCCGCATGCTTCTCCCTTCTTGCTAAGAAGGGGTGCAGGTGTAGGCAGAGTGGGGTCTCCCCTTCACTCCTCTGGACTAAAGCCACATCACCTCTAGCCCCAGACCAAAGATTCCCTTGTCCCCGGGGCAACCCTGACCCTTGTGTCTAGTTTGTATCCTAAATCTTTATTTTTCTAGGATATGTTATGCCTCCATTTCAATTAAAATAAAGTTAACAGAACCACCAGGGCTGTGGGTCACCTTCCAAACAACTTGCCCAAAGGACAACTGAACAGCAGCAGCCCTGCCTGAGAACCTGGCTCTCTGACCATGCTTCCTAAGAAGGGGGCTTGAGTCCAGGCTCATGGGCTGAGGAAGGTGTGGGCAGCGAGGTGACTTTCAAACTGTAGACCCTGACATGGCAGGCCTCCAGAGCTGGGTGGGAGGACCACCCAGGGCCAAAGAAGCAGGGAGACACCAGAAGGCCTACCCTGTTTCCTTTGCTGGCAACAAGGATTCCACTTGCTTTTATTTGGTTTAAAACAATAAATAGTCTATAAATAGAACGGGGCAGGGAGGGGCGAGTTGAGCATGAACAGGTTGAAACCATTTGATTCTGGGGACAGGATGGGCAGAGCGGAGTCCCTGTTCTCCAGCATCACCTGCCTGCATTTCATCTAGGGTTTCTTTCCACCCTAAGGCTCCTCTAATAACCATGGGGTGGAAAGGGGGCTCAGTGTCTCAGGGGTCAATAAATACACCTCTTCCCCAGTCCCACGGGAGCTGGCCCAGGGACCCACAGTGGCAGGGGCTGAAGCCCAGAAGGGAACAGACGCCTCTTCACCACCGGCTCCTGGTTTCCGAGGAGTGCTGCAGAAGCTGGGGTGAGGGAGCTCGCCTAGGTGGACAGCCCTCTCACTGGGGGTGAAGAGGCGGCAGGGGGGGCAGGTCTGGGTTGCTGTGTGCCTTCTCCGCCAGCAGCTGGTAGAAAGGCTTGGGGGTCTCCCAGTCCTCGTCCTCACTGCTGGAGTTCTCCTGCTTCACAATGCGGTTATGCTGGCGGCTGAACCTGCGGGCCTTGATGCTGCGGGGAGAGGTGGCAGCGGGGCAGGTTCCTCTCTCACCTCCCACCATCGCTGTCCCACCCCTGGTCCTCCAGCCCCAGCAGGGACCAAGGCCGAGGACAAGTGGGAGGCCAAGCCCTGGGTTCCAAGTCCCAGGCTAAGACGGGACGTGGCCAAGGGTCCCTTGCTGGAACCCCACACTCCAAGGGGCTTTGGGGTGTGAGAAACTTCGTGTTGAGGAGTGTTCCAGGGACCACTTCAGAGGTGGCCAGTGACAGCTATCCGGAGTTGGTGGAGAAGACAGGTTTCGGGGAGGCGGGGATCAGAGGCAGGAGGGAGGAGGCCAAGCAGCAGGAATTGAAAGCCAGGCTCTGAGAGCTCCCCGTGGCAGAGCCGGGGAGAACCTCTAGCAGCAAGGTCCAAAACCCAGTGAAATCATCTGCCTTTCTGAGCTACTAGGTGACACCTCTCTCTGTCACCTCCAAGTCTTTCAGGAAAGACTCAGCTCAGTGAGCTCCCACCCTGTTCCAGCACCACAGGCTCGAGGCTCTGAACCCTAGAGGAAGGCTGGGACCTGCTGCTGGCTCCTCACAGGGTCTCTGGCAGGGCTTCTTACCAGTATGGTCTCCGCTCCTGCAGGGTCATCACCCGCCACAGCTGGGCCAGTTCCTTGGTGGCCGCTGTGGATGCAGTCCCAGGGCAGGCTCTGGAACAAGAGGGGCGGGAGGGGTGGTCAGGAGAGGCCTGTGGAGACCAGCAGTGCGGCCACACAGGGTCTCTGGCCCTCTCCCAGCCTCAGCTTTCCCATCAGTGCCGTCTCCCATCCCTGCAGCCCGCGGCCACCATCATACACCCTCCGGAACTGAGGTCAAAGAAGGGAAAGGCATTAAATAGCCGCTCCCAACTAAGAACCCAGTGTCCAGGAGAGTGAGGTGGTGACTACAGGCCAGCACCTAGACCTTCCTGTACAGGAACCCACTGTCCACTGTGGCTCAGGACACTCCCAGGCCCCGGCTTCACTCTGGCAAGCGGCCGGCTCAGCCTCCTCCCCACAGGGACTGCTGGGGGCAGACTGGACTTGAGCCAGAGCTCCCAGGTGTCCCTGTTCCCAGTATTCTGGAGAATGAAGCCAGCTCAGGAGAGCGGAGTTGGACAGCATCGTTCAGCCCTGGAACCAACCACATCTTAGGGCAGGCAACACTGGCCGCTTTTTGTTAAAGTTATATAAGCAAATTAATTTCCTTTTCTCCCCTCAAATTTGAGCTGGTTTCACTGCACACAGTTGAAAGGACCAGATCAGTGCGACAGGGCTGGGGAAGAACTGTGGCCGTGGAGGGGCTGGTGGGTCCTAGGAAAGGGCAAGTAACTCTCACAAGTGGGAGCCACACAACCTAGAGGCAGAGTGAAATCAGGGACCTACCAGGGGCTGCCGGGGACCCTCACCCACCTAATGTACTGCTTCCGGTTCATCCTGCAGAACATGATGAAGCCGTTCACACACTTTTTCTTCATCTGGGTAGGACATGGGGCTTTCTTGCTCTCCTTGGGCTTCGAAGGGCCCTTGCTGGTCCGGCCCTTCCTGGTCTTTCTCCCACCTGTGGGCAGGATTGAGGCCCTCCGGGTGGGGGTCCATGTATAGTCGTCATCCTCATCACTAGAGGACTGCAAGCCCTCAGGGTCGACCTGCATGTCCTGGACAGAGAAGAGTGGTAAGTGCCAGGGCAAGAGAAACCCACCCGCCTTCCGCAGATGCCAGCCCTCACCTCTTCCTGCCCCCACAGGGACTCCAAGTCGCTCTCCTCAGTGCTGGGGCTGGACTGCACCTTGCTGGCCTCACTCAAAGAGAGGTAGCAGTGGTCCAGTGAGACCGAGGACTGGCACAGGCTGTGGGAGTCAGGGGGCGCTTCAGGTGCCTCTAGAGGTACGCTCTGGGCCATGATGAGGGAGAAAGATGGTTGGGGTGGGGGCTGGGATCACCCTCCACTCACTGATTTCCCAGGACAGAATGCAAGCAGCCTCACAGTCTCCACAGCCTCGGGACACTCAGGCACACACTCCCAAGTTCCCATAGCAGGCTAAGTGGGGCAGGAATGGCTGGGGCGACTTGTTTCCTCCCATCCTGGGGCAGTGTCGCCTCCACCCCATCAGCGTACTAGTGGCCTAGAGGCTGTGGTGCTCTGGGAAGTCTGAACTTCTTTGAGCCTGGATCTCATCTACACGACAGGGGTAACAATACAGGCCTTGCAGGGCTGGGAAGAACCTCCCACAGCGCCCGGCACTAGCTAGGAGCTAACGGCATGTTTCTGCCACCAACTCAGGTACTCATTGAGGCAACACTGGAGGAATCATCTGTGGAGGACTAGAGCTGCCTCTCCATTAGCAGTGACCTTCTGTAGCAGAGGTGCTGCCCTGGTTGGCCCAGGGCCCAGGAGGGCTGCAGTCCTGGGATTGGTCTCTACTCAAACTGAGAATTCCTGGGCCACTCTCTGGGTTCAGGTTTTTTCTCACCCATCAAACAAAGTCAGGAGCCCCCTACTTGGTAGATGGATGGGGGCAGGTGGCTGGGTGGCTAGAGGGCTGAGTCTGGGAATGGGTCGAGCAGGGAGGTGGGGTGACATATGGTGGGTGTCGCCTACCTTCTTTTGGGGTGCCTCAAGGGTACAGGCAGAAGGTCGAGACTCAGGCTCTAAGAGCACTTCTTCAAAGAGGCCTGTTGGTGGGGACACCACAGTGCTGGCTAGAACGGAAGTGCTTCTCCCACTGCACTGAGCCTCTGCCCTGCTGTCCCCACCAGCTGGAACCCCCTTGTCTGGCCTTCTCCTACCCCACGTCCAATTCCCCTCACAGGTCAGCTGCCGTGGGACCCCTCCAGCCCCAGGGAGGAGCATGTGGCTCCCTGATCAGGCTCCTGAGCCTTTCCCTCTCTTGTGCTGGGCTGTGGGTGCCTTGAGACAGGGCCTGGATGAGATAGGGCTCTGGGCGGCCAGAGTACGGCATAGGCCTGAGCACCTGGTGGGTGCCCCATGTTCTGAGTGACTGGAGCCTCAGTCTTGCCCTGGAGGCTTACCTTGGGTCAGGTACTCATTGCCATCCTCCAAGATCTGTTCTGGCAGCAATTTTCCAGGGGAGCTGAAGAGGGAAGGACTTAGTCCTAGGATCTCACTTGGGTGGCCTGTCACACTCCAATTATTGATTTGGGGAGGCCCCAAGGCCACTGGGCTCCCTAAAGAGGAAACACGGGGCTCAGTAATATGGTTGGAAATTGCCCTCCCCTCAACAGTAGAAGGCTTTGAGGAGATGGTGCCAGACACTGGGGCCAGGGGACTCGTTCCTGACTGGGCGTTCCTATAGAGGGGATTAAGAGACACAGTGCCTGGCATTATTTCAGGGATAGCAAAGGGAAAAAATCATCATAATGGGTCAGAGATTCAATAGACTGATATATCTACCTGCAGCTCTGTTAAGAAAGATTCTGAGGTAGTATCTGGACTCAAGGGAAAGAATGATAATTGATTAGCAATGTCTGTCCTAGCAACTAGCATCAGAGTGACAGCAGGAACAGTGCAGTCACCATCCCTGTTCTTAGCAGATCCCCATTCTCCTTCCCACTTTCCCCTGCCATAGAAATCCTCAGAAGGAAGAGAGACAGTTTCAGTCACCATGAGGGCTGCCCTCTGGGGTCCAGGCAGGAAGCCACGGGTCAGCATCTGGGACTTCCTTGTCCACCTCCTCACTGGAATCACAGAAGACCAGCTTCTGCCTGTGACAGGTGGAATTAAGAGGCAAACACAGAGCCCTGAGCTGGGAACTGCTGTGTGACCCCTCCAGTGTCTCCTGTGGCTGGCTGTGTGCAGGTCCCAGGGAGCTCGGTCAGCTGAGCGCCCAGCCTCCAGGGGCTTCTAGGCCTATGAGGTGAGCTGGCGCCAGAGGGGCAACGCTGAGGGCAGTGGGAGGAGGACCTCAGTGAGGACTGAAGGACAGGCAGTGTCACAGGTGGGCCTGGGGAGTGAGCTGTCCATGAAGAGGGACCAGAATGAATGTAAAGCTCAGAGGCTGGGGCGTGGTGAGCATCCTCTTAGGTGTAAGAGCCAGGGTGAGGGCAGGAGATGAGGTCACAGAATGTCTCCAATGCCAGTTAAGATAACTGGGCTCTACCTGCTAGGCACCAAGGAAGGGTCAAGGCCAAGTTCTCTGTGTTAGAAAAGCTACTCAAGTGAAGATGGGCTGCAGGGGGAGACTGGAGGCAGAGAGGCCAGTGGGGAGGCTGTGGCCAGGTTCTGAGAGATGGAAGCCAGACTCCAGAGAGCTCAGTGCAGTCAGCATAAAGCAGGCCCAGGGCAGTGCTCAGGAGAACTGGAAAAGGATGAACCCTGGCCTTGTTTCTTAGGACCCCTCACCATGCCAGCCCAAACTCCTCTGCCCCGCCCACCAGTGCCCTCAGAGTGCCCTCACCTGGAATAGGGGTGTATCCTGCTTAGGAAATGGATCCCTTCAGCCCCTCTCTGGGCCTCCAAAGCAGGGTCAGGCTCTCCATCCTGGGCACTGTTTGCACAACAGCAGCCTGGGGGGCAAATTAGGATGACTGCTTCTGTGGGTCGACATAGAGGATGGGGAGGAGCCAGGTTCTGCCACCCAACTTTCTGCTCCACCATCCTGACCAAAACCTTAGTCTATAGGACCTCTGTGTGAGGCTGGGGGTGCCCATGTCACCCTGAAGTTTCTTGAATCTCATATCCCTATCAGAAGCTGTAATGAGGATAAAATCCTTAAGTGGAACGACAATAATCACAAGCAAGAATGCAGTGCTTACTGTGGCCAGCCCTGTTTGAAGCACTTAAAATCCTTTTCAGTGACCCTTTGCTGGAGGACACCATTATTATACTATAGGTAAAGTGAGGCACTGAGATATCGGGTAGCTTGCCAACACTGTAGTTAGCAAGAAGATCTGTGAAGCACTCCCTCAGCCCCAGGCTGGGTCAGATGCCTGCTCTGGGGCCAACAGCCTCCTGGGAAACCCAGGAAGTCTGGTCACTGTGGACCATCAGCATCTGGTGATGTGGGCGATTCCTTCAGTGGACTGTGACCTTAGTCCCTGATATGTCAGGAGCACTCTGCACATGTCCTGGCCCGGAGCAGGCATTCAGAATGGGGGCTACATGAATGAACAGAGGAACCAACTGCCCAAGGCCTTGCAGCCAGTATGAGGCTAGGCCTTGAGTTCAAATCCCCTCTCTCCACCCAGCTCTTTGCTAGATGCATCAGCAAGCCTATTTCAGTTGGTGGAGTGACAGGGCAATCACAAGAGACATTGTGGCTGCTTCGGGTGAGGTCTTCTCAGGATACCCTACCCTATCCCACTTCTGTGACCTGAAGCCTAACAGGAGGGTAGCCCTGATCTTCTCCCTCCCTTACCCACAATAGAGCCTGAAATGAGAAAGAAAACTGGGAACAAAACCATAAGTTCCGTGAGATGAGGGGCAGGGTCTACTCTGATCACCACTGTATCCCCAGCTACTCAGCAAGTCCCCAGCAAAGAGCCTGTAAAGATGAAACTCATGGTGAGGAAAGAGACCAACTTGCGATGTCACCAAGGACGATGTTTTCGGCTATATCCAGCAACGTCAGCTGGGATCTTCCTCCTTCTCCATCGCCTTGAAATGAGGCAAATGCAGCTTTGAGGTCACACCAGGGGTCTGGGCATCTTGGAGGGGTGGTGATCCCCCCCACGTTTCCTTCTTTCTGGTCTGGGGACGTGGTCACCGTCTTCTCAGGTTTGTCTAGGGCCAGGGAACGGCGAGGTTTCTGGTCCCGGGTCTGACGTTCTGAGAATGCAGAGAGATGGGTGTCAGAGGACCCTGTGTGTAGGGAGTGTTCCCTGACTACCCCAGAATATGGCTCAGTTGGGGACCTCCTTTGCTCTGGGTTGACAGCCTGTTTTAAAGCTGTGTATGGCTTGGTCACTCGCCAGCCCTTCCAGGCATGCTCAGATACTCAAGCAGAGGTCATTTAGCCCAACCCCCACCTATATACCTTGCAAGCTCTTAAAAAACAAAAAGACACAGCTGCTCTGATGTTCCACCACAGACAGAGGGCACCCAATTCTCTAGGTAAAAAGCACAAGAATAGGATTTCTTTTTCTTTTCTTTTTTTTTTTGAAGCACCCCAGGTGATTTAGATGTATAGCCAGGGAGTCACCGATGAGATCCAACTTTTTTTTTTTTTTTTTTGGCTCTACTAGGAATCCAACCCAAGGCCGTGGGTATGCCAGGCAAATACTGCACTATACCCCTGCCTCTCCGGCTCCCATTTTATAGTCACGGAAACTGAGTCCCACAAATGAGAAGGGGAGCAAGTGAGTAGCATGGCTGGGGCTGGCCCCAGGACACTGCCTCCCACATGTGGATCTTCCTGTCACTGCACACTCCCCAATTCTCTGGTCCAGAATGATTACCGAGTACAGGGCAATAAATAAAAACAGCAGCTGCGCTCCTTGGACCTGACCAGTGTCTCTCACATGAGCTCTGCTTGGGCAGAGTGCGTGCTTGTTCTCCTGTGGCAGGTGATGTGTTTTTCAGTGAGGAAGCAGAGGTTTAGAGGAGAGTGGCCCACTCCAGGTCACTGAGCTCCTACTAGGAGGAGTGGGATCTGACCCTGGCATAGTTTGCTGAGCAGACCCCTGAGCAGGGCCATGGCAACCCTGGAGAGGGAGTCCTGTTCCATTGACCCCTGCCTTCTTGTTCTGCTCCGCTGACAGCTCATACCTGGTGCTCGAGTCAGCTTCTTCCGAGGTTTCCGGCAGGCCCCCCAAAGACGAGACTTCCGAGAGCACGGGGAGCTGGAGGGGGTTGAGTGTTTCCGCCTGGCTGGGCCCACAGCTGGGTTCCGACCCAGCCCTGCTGGGACAGAGAAGTGGACAGGTCAGATCCTAGTCCTCACTCTAGCATGTTTCCTGCTCTCTAGATGATGCTTCCTAACCCTGGGATAAAGCGGGCCCCCAGGCAGAACTCACATATGGAATTGTGATTTGTGCAGGCCCCAAGGCCACTGGGCTCCCTAAAGAGGAAACATGGGGCTCAGGGATGTGGTCAGAAATTGCCCTCCCCCCCAACAGTAGAAGGCTTTGAGGAGATGGTGCCAGACACTGGAGCAAGGGGACTCGTCTGACTGAGCGTTCCTGTAGAGGGGATTAAGAGGCACAGTGCCTGGAAACCCAGATGTGGGAGGAAGCAGACCTGTCCTCAGTTGCACAGCCAGGAGGCAGAAGCACAGGGGCAAAGTCAGGTTCCCCAGGGCTGGCCAAGAGGATGAACAGACTCACCCCTTCCCAGATGCCTCTTCCCCACCCCAAACCTGTTCCTTCTCATCTTTCTCAATACAGTGAAGGTGCTACCACCCACCTGGGGTCGCCCTGGGCCTCTGCCTCTGGCCTCTCAAGTCTTCCTTATTATTAACATCTCCCAAGTTCACCCACTTCTGTCCACATTCCCAGCTACAGTGCTAGATTGGGCTTCATTGTCTTTTGTCCAGAGATATTCCTAAAACCATTTTCTCTGATATCCCTGATTCCAGTTTCTTCCTTCACAATCAGTCCTCTAGATGTCATGGACCCTGTTCTAGGACAAAACAAAACAAAAAATCTGCCAGGTGTGGCATTGTGTGTTTAGAATCCCAGCGACTTGGGAAGCTTAGGTAAAAGGATAGAGTGCCTGGGTAACAGACAGAGACTCCGTCTCCAAACCAAACCCCAAACCAAATCTGATCATGACTCCCTTGCCCAAAATCCTTCAGTAACTCTCATTGTCTTCATCTCTCTCTGTAGCTGTGTACCAGAAGCCCTTCAGGACCTCACCCCTGCTCCCCCAGCCCCTGGTGAGCCCCTCCAGCCTCATCTCCTGCCACCCTGCCTGAGTATCTCGCACTCCAGCAACACCGACAGCACTGGGCACCCTGCGCAACACTGGGTGGCCGCTGCTCCAGGTGCTATTTTTCTTTTTCTTTAAAGAAAACATATATATGTATATATGTATGTACACACACACACACACATATATATTTTAAGTATTTCTTTTTAGTTATAAGTGGACACGATACCTCTATGTTATTTATTTATCTTACATGGTGCTGAGGATCCAACCCAGTGCCTCCCGCATGCTGGGCAGTGCTCTGAGTGCTCTATGTTGAGCCCCAACCCCAGTCGCCTGTTGTTTCTTCATATGTATTTAATCCCTATGACAAGCCAAGTGCTGGTGTGTCCTGTTCTGCAGAGGACGGGAACTGAAACACAGCAGGCTGAGGTCATGGAGACACACTTCAGTCCTGATCTAGCTCGGGATGCTACATGGTCCCTCCAATCACACTCACCACTTGCCTGTCCCCAAATGTCCCACATGGGCCTCCTCATGCCTTCACACTCTCACCCACATGGTTCCTTCTGTCTGGCAGGGTCCCCTTCTCCTGCTGTCCTTGGAAGCCCCTCCTCTAAGCCCCCACAGCATCTTGAACAACTTTCTGATGGCTTCCCCTCCATAAAGCTGTGAGAGTCCAGGGCAGGGAGGGAGACTGGACTCATCTAAGTCACTCAATGTCCACAATGGCCAGGACAACATTTGGCCTGTAGCAAACACTAGGAAACATTGTCTGAACTGCTTACCCCCAAGTCCACCTTCCCCATCGCTGGTGTGGAATTTGAGCAAGGCCTTGGCCACATCGATGCTTCTTTGGAGGTACTGAATGTAGTGCAGGACGTGAAGCAGAATCTCCTTCTGCCCCCAAAAGAAAGACAGGGTTGAGAACAAGAGCCAGGACTCAGGAAAACGTGAGGCTGCTGGGAACCAGAGACAGGCAGGCCTCAGTGAGGTGGCAGGGGGTGGGGTGGGGTGTCACCTGAGGAAACAGGCTTAGAATGCCAAAGGGATCTGGAGAAACGAGGTAGAAAAGCTAGAATCTGAACTCAGGTCTGCCTGCCTCCTGGTTGTTTTTCAACACGTACAGCTCAGCTTCTGGCCCCTGGCTCTTTGCTCATGCTGTATTTCCGGTCTGCAAATCCTCCTCTTTTCCCCCATGAACTCCTCACCTCTATCTCCTCTTCTGGTTCTCGGCAGCATGCCCGCCCTCCTGACCCCTCTCACCCAGGCTGGCTCAGCTGCCCTCCTCAGCACTCTTGTAACACCCTGGGCCAATTTCAACCAGGGTACTTGCAACGCTGTTTTATAATTATCTGTTGACATGTCCTTCACTTCCACTGACCTTGAACTACTTGATGGTGAAATTGTGGCTAATTGATTTCTGTATCCCAAGCATATAGCCAGGGACTATCAGAGGAATGGAACCTCCCGCCAAGAGGATGCCTCCTGCCCAGTGTGTAGGCATCGCCCATCCAGTTACCTACTGCCTCCTGAGTTGATATGGGATACAGAGCTAGAAGAGGTATGTCAGGGTAAGCTAGACATGTTTTGTTTGCCTTCATGGAATTTACAGTCTAGTGAGGGCAACAGACCCTAATCAACTCACAAATCATTCAAAATTACCAACTATATAATAAGCATTATGAATAAAAGACCACAAACAAAGGACCCCAAAATTAGGGTGTCTGGAAAGGCCTCTTTGAGGAGGTAGCATTTAAACAGGCCTAAAGAGTAGAGGGAGGGCTAGGGATATAGCTCAGTTGGTGGTAGAGTGCTTCCCTCGCATGCACAGAGCCCTGGGTTCAATCCCCAGCACTACACACACACACAAAAAAAAAAAAAAAAAAAAAAAAGAGTAGAAGGAGTTATTTGGGTGACAAGGTGAGGGAAGTTCACCAGTTTTGAATCAAACTGGATCCACAGAATAATAAAAAATCAGAAATAAACTCTCAAACTACAAATAAGGAAACAGGGTCTCATGAGGGGGTTTACATGAAAGTATTCCATAAAATACAATATAGACAGTCAGTGAAATGATTTAGTAGTATCCAAAGAAGGATGCTATAACAGAAGTATATAATCTAAGAAATACGTGTGACATAGCCAAGAGAACATTGGTTTTAAAACCTGGATCCAAACTACCACTTGGTTGTGCATTAAAAACAGGTCATTTTATGTACTTCACCAAGTTTTGATTTTCTCATCTGTGCAATGGAAATGAGGATATTCAGCTGGGCTCTAAGGACTGCCATTAGTCTAAATAATTAGAAAACAGGGTGGTGGTGCCTCCCTGTAATCCCAGTGTCTCAGGAGGCTAAAGCAGGAGCATCACAAGTTCAAGGCCAGCCTCTTTGTGAGACCCTCCCTCAAAATAAAAAAAAAAACTAAAAGGGCTTGGTATGTAGTTCAGAGGTAAAGTGACTCTAGGTTTAATCCCCAGTACCAAAAAAAAAAAAAAAAAAAAGTAAACAATTGGTGAATGTAAAATTGTCCAGCACAGGGTGTGATACATTGATTGCCTAATAAATGCTTGGTTGAAGACTGAATGAGATCACCTTTACCAGGTTTCCTAGGGATTTAAAAATATATATATTGCTAGACAGTGGATTTTTTCCAAGAGCTGATACTGTCTTTTTTAATTTATTCCTTCTAATAACAGGATTGGCACAAAATTAAGTCTTTGTTAACTGTCAAGTAACTTATAAATGTTACTTGTTACAACTAGTCTAAAGGTTGTATGCAGAAAGCAATTGAGAATCACCCAGGATTCAGCAGAAGCTCGTATTTGATAACTGGGGAGGGTGGCCTTGGCTGCTGCCCCTGAGGTTTGAATCCCAGGGACCTTATCACTATCTCAACATATGGCATTGATTCAGCCATTCAATAGACATCCACTGAGCTCTCTGTGACAGCAGGGTTGAAGCACAGGGCTTTGGAATGACATTTCTCTCATTGCCCCACTGTGTGCCTCTGGGCAACGTGACCCCTCTGCACGTCAGTTTCCTTAAACCAAAGTGAGCCTAACCATACATCTCTCCCAAGCCTTGTTGGACAATTAAATGAGGATTCGAATCTAAGATGCTTAGCAGTCAAGATCTGGAATCTGGAACTCTCAGTAAGTTGGGAGCAGCTGCTCCTGCTCTCTGCTCTAGGCAGGGCCCTGGGGGTCCTAGAGGCCCTGGGGGGTAGAGATTTTTCCCTTATGGGATATGCACTGGCATAACTCTCCATCTAAAGGAGTCAGAAACAAGGAAATGCTCATGGTACTATGCTGAGGACTACATGGGGTAGGGGGCAATTAATCAGCCACAGTGGTGTGGAAGGACACCACAAACCTCCAGTCTCAAACACAGGGAAGCCACACCTAATAGTTCATGAGCCGTCACACAGCCCTGGGACTGGCTATGGTGTCTTCACACAGAGACAAGTTTGACCATGAGATGCTGGGCACTGACTGGGAATTGAATTTGCAATCTGACCCCCAAACCTCCTGTCTTAAATGTTCCCCCTTTCAATGCTGCTCCTGCCCCCACTCTGGGACACCCAAGACAGAATCCCAGGCATTGTCTGCACTGGGATACAGGTAATACAAGGAGCAAGGGAACCAGGGCTGAACTTCAGGAGGATGAAGACAGGGAAGAAAGATTCCTGACACAGCAGAGGATAAATGGTGAACAAAGTATTCTGAAACCTTGGAAGAATTCCAAGAGATGTGGTCATCTGGTCAGTTACGAAATGTTGCCTGTCCCCTGACTAGTCTGTCATTCCTCAAGGGAAGTGGACTGTGTCTTTATTGTCTTTAGCTCCCTAAGAGCCTCAAACACACCTCTGCACATCAAATATGCAAATGCTCAATTCCTCAAATAGTTCACATAAGAATTCCAAAGAGGGCTGGGGATGTGGCTGAAGTGGTAGCGCACTCGCCTGGCACGCGTGCGGCCCGGGTTCGATCCTCAGCACCACATATAAACAAAGATGTTGTGTCCACCGATAACTAAAAAATAAATATTAAAAAAAAAAAAAGAATTCCAAAGATATCCACATTCTAGTCTCCAGCACCTATGGATGTGCTATGTGCTGCCTGATATGGCAAAGGGGACTCCGCAGATGTGAGTTAAAGATGGAGATTACTCTGGAGCATCCAGGTGTGCCCAATGGAATCACAATGGCTTTATAAGAGGGAAACAGTGGGGGTGGGGGCAGGGAACAAAGGCAGAGAAGGCGATATGGCAACAGAAGCAGTAAGAGAGGGGAGAACTTTGAAGATGCGAAGCTGCTTGCTAGCCTGGGCCCTCATGAGCCAGGGAGCGTAGGTGACCTCTAGAAGCTGGCAAAGGGAAAGGCAGTGGACAGTCCCCTGGAGCCTCTCAGAGGAACCAACCCCACAGACACCTTGACTCTAGACCAGTATGTCTGATTTGGGACATCCTACCTCCAGTCTATAAGAGAATAAGTTTGTGTCTCTTAAGTCACTAATTTTGGGGTGATTTTTTGGTAGCCCTAGGGAACTCATAAAAGCACCTACTGTTGAGAGAGATTTAAGAGGAAGATTCAACATGACCTGTGGTTGATGACATGTGGTGGGCAGGGAAAAGCCCAGGTTTGGGGTCAGGCAAATCTCTCCAAGACACCCACTCCTCTGAACCTCTGCAAAGACAAGTCGCACATTCCAGTTAGGATCAGTTATTCCTGTGTTCAAATCTTCATCTTCCTGACAGACTCTGAGTTCCCAGAGAAGAACTGGGTCTCAAATTTCTTTGCCTCCCTTGTTGTAACCAGAACAGCTTCTGGCACCCAACAATATTTCCAAAAATGGCTGACGAATGAATGAGTACATGAGTGAATGAGAGGAACTAAAGCAAGAAAATGTCATATCAAGCCTTCAAGATCTCTGAGTCTCATATTAGGCTATTCCCCCTGGGAGCAAGGTGTTAGCTTGGCACTATGTACATTTATTGAGGAGCCTATGGGGACATCCTGGGAAACCACACCCAGTCCTACCTCACAGATCCCAAAACAAGAGACTTGAAGAGGGAACTGATATTTATTCAGGGTATGCAACGTGCAGAACCTGTCACAAGTATTATGTCATTTTGGCCTCATGATATCTCTGGGTAGCGGTAGTTATATTTCCTTGTTTTAAGCCAAGAAACTCAGGAAACTGACCAGAGTTCTGCAGCTGTGAGCTGGGGGGGGGGGGTGTCTCAAACCTCTGGCTGTTGGACTCCGTATTCTGTTCTTCCCTCCCAATTCCCCTGTCTCTTGCATAAAAGGACTGCCAGGCTTCTAGTCATGGGATCAGGACTCCTAGAAATTCCTTCAGAGAAGGACCATACCCATTCCAAGGCTGACACTAAAAGGGTCTGCTAGGTTTTCCCAGCTTACTGCTATCTGAAGACCTGTGTCCCCAGACTGCCTCCTTTCCACCAGTCCCGCACCTTAGTGAGCTTCTTGGTGCCAGTCTTCGGGGCCACAGGTAGCAGCAATGCCAGCTCTTGCAGCTTGCTGGAGTGGTTTTTCTTCTGATTCCTGGTTTGGGACGAGAGCTGGATTTGGTTAGGACATCCAAAATTGAATTTGTAATCTGACCCCCAAATCTTCTGTCTTAAATGTTCCCCCTTTCAATGCTGCCCCTGCCCCCACTCTGGGACACCCAAGACAGAGTCCCAGGCATTGTCTGCACTTGTCATTCTCCCTTAACCCCTTGACCAGTTGGCCACCAAATGCTTCCCCTCCCTCCCTCCCCTTCTCTCCATCTTCATAGCCCCCCCCAAATCCACCCTGATATCCTCCCGGGTCCCCCAGCCTCCTATCTGGCCTCTTCCATCCTATTCTCCGCTAGGGGCAGGGTGGGCTTTCCTGCTTCAAACTCCTCAATGTCATCCCGTTGTTAAGGATCAAGTTTAAACCCTTAACATGGCTCATAACACTCTTTCCACCCAGCACTGACCACTCTGGTCTCATCCTTCCTTTGACGCTCTCACATGAAATGATCCTGGTCCACAGGATGGGTGACATGCTGCTGCCAAGTTGCCCAGACCCTGTGCTCACCTGTCTCTAACCCCGCACAAGGCTTACAGCTGTGGGGAGCACCACCGTATCCCTAACACTAGACAGAGCCTGGCATATTGTGGGAATTCACTGCATATTGGATAAATGAATAATAAATAATGGCATGAAATAAGTTGACTCCTGGGAACCTGCAGAACTTAATTCCTGAATTCATGATTTACAATATACCCATGAACACAACCCTCCACCCCTCTTTCCTACCACATGAAGATACAGAGATGCTGGAGCCCCTCTCCCAAATTACACCACTGCCACTACCCATGCAACTCCTCTGGGGCTGCCCAAACACCTCAATGCCACCAATCATTGTCCTTCCTTCAGGGCTCACTTTAGTTGCTACCTCCCTTGCTTTCCTCCTCCACTCTAAATGTCCACAACACTTTGTGTCACCTACAGCATGGCCAAGACAAAAACCAACCAACCAACCAAACAAACAAACAAACAAAAACCTCCCTTGATTACTCATGGGGTTAGCTCCAGTTTGCACCGATATAAACTGATACCTCCTGTTGGCCAGGCCCTGTGCAGGATACCGTGGCAACGGGGGTAATGACTCAGGAAGCAGTGTATGATGTGGGAGAGGCACTCATCTTCCTAACCAAACAGCAAATTCCTAAAAGAATCTCTCTTTCATCCATTCATTCAGCAGTTACTTACTTAGCACCTACTTTGTGTCAGGAACTGTTATAAAAATACATAAAGTCCCTTCTTCTTGAGCTCACAGTATAGTCAGGGATAAAGTAATCAACCAAACTGTTACAAAACCAAACATAAAGTTGCAACAAGGACCATACAAAGCTATATAATTTTCAAGGGGGAGCATTGCAAATGAAAAATGGGTCTTGTGCCAAAAATTAAGAATTTCATGATGGTAGAAAGCAAAGAATTAACCAATTATCCTGCCTTTCTAAAAGCAGGGTGCTAAGCAACTACCTAGGCGACATGTCCATGAAGTTGGCCTCCTGATGAGAATAAAGGAGAGGTGTTGTTTGGTGATATAGAAGTTTGCAATAGGGGGCTTTGACCTAATAAAGGAAGGGCTTGTAATAGGAGGATTTGCCTTGATCAACAAGGTCTTTCCTGAAGAAATAAACCTGACCAGAACCTGTTCTAAAGGACAAGTGGAAAGATACAGGTGAAGAGGGAAAGAAAACATTCCAAATAGAGGGAACGCGTGCAAAGGCCCTGTGGCAGGACAGAGCATTGGCAAACTTAAAGGAAATAAAACTGGCACGCCAGGAGCACAGAAAGCAAGGAGTACTATGGGATGAAACAAGGATAGAGAAGGAGATAAAGGCTGGATGAGGCAGGGACTCAACTGTAGGTTCACAGTGAAAAGGAGTTCGCCTTTATCTTTAGACCAATCAGAAGCCATTTAAGGGCTTGACATCCTTTGATATCCTCCTCAAAATCTTTGTGAACACAAGAGGCCATATGGATTAGTCAACTAAATGAAAAAAAATAAATCAACTGGTCTCTAAATTATATCATATATATATATATATATATATATATATATATATATATATATATATATACACATACATATATATATATATATAATTTGGGGGGTGGGTATTAGGGGCACTTAATCACTGAGTCACATCTCTAGCTCCTTTTATTTTGAGACAGAATCTCTCTAAATTGCTTAGGGCCTCAATAAATTGCCGAGGCTAGCTTTGAAATTACAATCCTCCTGCCTCAGGCTTCCTAGTAGCTGGGACTACCAGTGTGCTAGGGATTTCTTTTTCTTTTTTGCAGTGTTGGGGATGGAACCCAGGCTCTCACCCATGATTGGCAAGTGCTCTATCACTGAGCTAAACCCTATCCTCTTGGGATTGTTTTCTTGTGTTTGAAGCTAGGAATTGAACCTGGAGCCCTGCACAAGCTAAGCAAGCACTCTATCATTGAGCTACATTTCCCAGCCCAGGATTCCATTCTACTCGTGCTTGCCTAGCATGCACAAAGCCTTAGGTTCAATCCCCAGCAGTGTGAACACACACACATATAAAAAAGAAAATGAAATTGGGCTTGGTACTTATTTTTTGCATACTACCTTTCTTCTGTCCTAGAGGGACTCCTGGAAGCCCAGAGAGAAACAATAACAATAACAATACAGGCATCAAGGAAGAAACAGCATCCAGGTCTACTTATGTTTAAGGTGTTACTTGTTCACATCTAAGAGGGTTTCAAATTAACCATAGTTCCTGATGGTTTATTCTGGATTTTGCAAAGACCTGGGAGAAGATTCTGGGCAAATGCAAAAGTTCTAGAAGAAAAATCAGGAGGGAGCAAGAGTGACTAGGAATCTCAAACTCTAGGCATCCCCTGGGCAGAAGTACTGAGTAGGTTCAACCTGGGCTCTGCTCTCAGGGGCCTCTGAGACTCATGTACTTCCTCCCAAGGCTGCCTTTCTCTTTGCTGGCTGCTTCTGGTTTTAGCCAATTTCTTTTCTCATAATCCTTGTAATTTTCACCCACTAACCATAGTTCTGCCCTTTGGGTCTACAGGGAACAGGTAAGCTCTAGCCATGCAAGGCCTTATTCTGTCTCTCTAAACTGCCACTATTTTCTCTTTGGGCCTTTAACATCCTTTTTGCCTGGAATATTCTCTTGCATTTTTGCATGGTGGGTTTCTTCTTTACCATTTAAGCATTTAGTTTAAATGTAACCTCCTCAGAGAGGCCTTTTGTGACCATCCAACCCAAATAAAATTCCTTTATCATTTATCACCATCTGATATATTACTTTTAAAATTATTTAGCCATTATATATAAACTCCAAGAAGGCAGGGATTTTTGTGTTTATTTACTGTTATCCACCAGGCAAACTTATCCTTTAGTTGCAACAAGCACAATGCTGAAGGCCTGTGATAGTTTTAAGGACTCATGAAATGTTTTCATTTCTTCTAAAGTAGAAGAAAAAATAAATACAACCAAATCTGAATGGTATTTATCTTTATATCAATGCTATTTTTTTTTTTTTAGTGAAGGAAGGGGACTAAGAAGGCAAAATTTTAGCGACCATAATTCATAATACACCCCTGGCTGTATCCTCAGCTCCCAAAATAATGCCTGGCACTTAGTAGGTATCTCAATAAAAAAATTGTTGAACTAATAAATGCCACTTCTGTCCTGAGACAGCCTTTGCCCTTTTTGGGAGGAAAACACTGGGGATGAGACCCAGGGCTTTATATGCTAGGCAAGTGCTCTACCACTAGGATACATCTCCAGTCCTTTTTATTTTTTGGTACCAGGTATTGAGCCCAGGACTGCTTAACCACTGAGCTACATTCCCAGCCCTTTTTATTATTTTTTATTTTGAGACAGGATCTTGCTAAGTTGCTTTAGGCCTTGCTAAATTGCTGAGACTGGCCTCACATTTGAAATCCCCCTGCCTTAGCCTCTTGTGCAGCCAGGAACCTCTCCATCTTTTGACATGGAAAATAACTAACACTTGAGTTTAGTCTTTGAGCTAATCAGCCTAAACACACCATAGTTTCCTTATGTTATGTAAGATGAGCTAGAAGGAGCTTCACAAAAGCCATCCAAACATCTCTAATTAGATTTGGAAAAACCAAATCCTGGGCTAGGGATGCAGCTCAGTGGTAAAGCACTTGCCTAGAATGTTTGAGCCCTGGGTTTATTCCCCAGCACTACCAAAACAACAACAACAACAAAAAAGTCCTAGTACCTAATCTACCTTAACTAAGAACTAAGAGGAAATACTACCCCAAAGTGAGGCATCATAATGATTGATTATAAGATCTAACTTTTGGCTGGGCACAGTAGCACGTGCTGGAGGATTACAAGTTCAAGGTCAGTCTTGGCACTTAGCAAGACCCTGTCTCAAAAGAAAATACAGAGCTGGGACCCAGGCCCAGTGCACACTTGTAATCCCAGTGGCTCAGGAGGCTAAGGAAAGAAGATCGTAAATTCAAAGCCAGTCTCAGTAATTTATCAAGGCCCTAACCAACTTAGTGAGACCCTGTCTCAAAATAAAAAAGGACTGGGGATGTGGCTCAGTAGTGGAGCACTCCCAGATTCAAACCCCAGGTTTCCTCACCCCCCACACAAAAATAGCTTCAGCTTTTGAAGCAGATGAACTGGAATTCAAATCCTAGTTCTGTCACTTGTTGTGTGGCTTTATACAAATGCTTTAATCTCTCTGAGTTAATTTTCTCCCTCATTTATAAAAGGGAGGTGGCTAGGAAAAAAAATTAATCTGGTCTGGAAGGCGTTCTACACAGTACCTGTCACATACAGAATGCTATGAAATGTTAGGTCAAGAGAAGGTGTACAGGGGCTATGACTGTGGTTCAGCAGTAGTGCACTTGCCTGGCATGTGTGAGGCACTGGGTACAATTCTCAGCACTGCATATAAATAAATGAAATAAACGTCTATCAACAACTAAAAAAATTTTTAAAAAAGAGAAGGTGTACAGTCTTTTGTCAGAAT